TCGTCATCCCAACCCACGTCCAAGAAAAGCAAGGCAGGTGGTCTCAAGTCACTCATCCGCGAAGTCATCAGTGATTCGGAGGACGACTCACTTATGAACCCCACCCCTACTTCGATTGGCGATCCATCACGGCCATGGAGGGCCGAATTTATGAGCTACCTGGAGACTGTTGAGGCGGCTCTACCAGCAGGTGTATCTACTATACAATGGTGGGGGGTACGTACTATGGCTTGCGCTACTTGGAAAATTAGCACTGATGTCAATTTTGCTCAAGATAAATGCACCAAGATATCCAGTATGGGCCTCGCTCGCACGAGATTACCTATCCATCATGTCGTCATCAGTATCAAGCGAGCGCGCATTTTCGCAAGGTGGCATCACGATCAGCAAACGACAGAACCGGCTTAAAGGAGACATTGTGGAAGCTCTCCAATGTGTCAAATGTGCGATACGACACGACCTTCTCTTTCACGAGCCTGGACCATCCTCTCTCGCGGAGTCGGAGGCATTTGATGACTCTGAATTGGAAGCTGACAGTGAGGAGAGGACTGATGTCGCAGATGAGGAGGATGCTTGGGATGCTTTGATTTTAGATGATGACGAGTTTTCTGACTAGTTACTTCATGTATTTTCTTGTGCTACTAAACTACGAATCTACAGTTTTGCATACCACGAAGCCGCGGCCTAGTGCGGCTCAAGCCACGGCTTTGGGCTGGCTTGGGCTCACGGCCTAGGCTTGAAATATGGCAAGCCTAAGCCCCCCCAGGCCAAGCCTAAGCCGGGGCTTTGAGCCTAAGCCGGGCCGGAACGTCACTAGCCATGACATAACTACTACCAAGAGCCAGAACACCACCTACTGCCAGTTTGGATATAGGACCCTGTTCAATGCAAGAACCAGGAGCCGGCGGTTCAGGGTTCAGAAACTGTTCAGTTTCTCGCACAGCATGGTCCTTGATCACCTTGCCTCGCAGAGAGTGAAGCAACTCACGGATTTGTCTGCGAGGCTTAGGAGATGGCTGTAAGAATATCATCAAAGCAAACATTGAATCAGCGGTTATAGTAAGTAGGGATTAGCAGGGGTATGGGTAACCCGTGGGGGTCAGGGGTAGGGGTCTCTAGGGGTACGGGTAGGGGTTTGGTTTGGCAGACCCCTGACCCCTCGATACCCTTCTATTCAATTATCCATGTTTGGTGTCACAGCTGTCACAACTGTATAGGACATCAAAACCTTATTCCTATTACACTCAGAAGCCAATCTAAAATGAAAAAGTTCTCGTAATTCTGTGATCTAGATCTACGATACCATGTCTAAGTTAGGCAAAAGGGTAACAAAGCTCACAACGAAGGCAGCCCAGGCTTTGGCTGAAGGGGCCAACAAGCTCAAACGAAAAGCTAGCCATAGCAGTACCACTATCAATACCTCAAAAAAAACCAAGGGCACCACACTCGAAACAAGCTCTGAGTCTCCTTCTTCTCGGAGCTCGAGTCCCACATTCCCAAGCAGCCATAAAGCCACTGTTCACACCGAAGAAGACGAGGATGCTCTCAATACCATTATTATCAATGATACTGACTCCAACACCTCTCGCGACGATGATGGGGAATCCTCGGAGGCAGAACTTGGTTTGTCATTAATCAATCTGCTGATCATGAGAGACACACTAAATCAATGTTAGAGCGTCTGAAAAAAGACTGGAACTCACCCGTCTATGCATTTTTTCATCCTGAAGCTGACATTGAGTATGTACACGGTCGACGGTGCCACGTATTCAAATGCGCTGCAAAAGGTTGTCAACAACGAATCCGTCGATTCCTCGATACCGGAGATGCGAGGTCAACTGGAAACATGCGTAAGCATGTCAAAAACTGCTGGGGGGAAGATGCACTTGCTGCTGCGGTGCACACCAAAAATGCCAAGGAGGCACGCGAAACCGTTGTGCAGGGTATACTCACGACGGGCACAATAACGGCCTCTTTCGAACGAAAGGGAAAAGGGAAGGTGACCTTTTCACACCGTCAGCACACGAAAACAGAGACAAAGTAAGTACTCACTTCCTTTTGGTACAAAGATTAATCTAATATACATGTCGAAGGGCCGAAATCGTCCGTTGGGTTTCCGAAAGCTTTCGTCCATTCGAGGTTGTGAACGACCGAGGGTTTCAATCCCTCATGAAAACAGGCAGGCCGGAATACTATATACCTTCTCCATCTACAGTATCGCGCGATGTTCGTCTGGTGTTTGTGCGAACACGTCAGCGAATAGCAAACATGCTCCAGAATTATGAAGGTGAACTTAACTTTGCGACGGACGCATGGACGTCGCCCAATCACAAAGCCTTCGTGGCAGTATCAGTGCATCTTGAGCACGAGGGCAAGCCTGTGGCTATGATCCTAGACATTGTAGAGGTACCGAAGGTGAGCAATTAGTTAATCTATATATATGGACAATGTACTTACTGGAAACACATAGTCGCACAATGGTGTGACCCTTGCGGAAGCGTTTGCGAAGATTCTGCAAGACTTCGGGATATCAGATAAGGTATGGACATGCATAGGAAGGACTTACCACCACGTTAATCAAAAATATTGAAGATCTTGAGCATAACGTCCGATAACGCGTCAAATAACGATACTATGATATCTGAGTTAGCGGACAATGTCGCACACTTCGAGGGCAAGAACTCACAAACTCGTTGCTTCCTCCATGTCATAAACCTCGTGGCGAAGTCACTAATACGTCAGTTCGACCCACCGAAACGAAACAGGGATGAAACCCTTGACGATCTTGCGAGGGGTATGGAGCTTGAGGAGCGGGTGACTGTGGAAGATGGTGATCAGGAGGCCGATGACGATGCGCCAGGATGGGTTGACGAGGTTGCTTTACTTACGCCAGACGAGCAACGTGAACTCCACAATAATATTCGGCCTATCAGGCTCGTGCTCGTCAAAGTGAGTTTATCTTATCAAAGATAACGAAAAAAAACACTCACCGGTTTGCATAGCTCCGAAAACTTTCCTTTAAACTCATTCACTCCACCACCCTCCTACTACCAGCCTGGCATGGAATCTTGAAGGAGTTGCAGCTTGGAGTCAGAAACATGCCGCGAGATGTTGCGACTCGCTGGAATTCAACATTTGACATGTTGGAGTTTGCGCTGGAGTACCGGGCCGCAATTGACCGAATTACCGACAAACGCAAATTGGGATTGGGAGAATATGAGCTAGATGATGAAGAGTGGACATTGGCAAAGGAATTGCGTGATGTTTTGAAGGTGAGTGTTCTGAATGTTGAGCACCGCTGGTTTGCTGACTAATCAAAATGATGTATCATTGTAAGATTCTCAAGCATGCAACACTGTTTTTCTCTCGTTCAACGCCAAACCTCGCTATGGTTATACCGGCGATGGACCATATCGACACCACCTTCACCAACTGCATCATCAACAAGGCCCGTCTTCAGCCAGCCATCCGCACTGCCCTCGCACTTGCAAAAAAAACCCTCAACCGCTATTATTCACTTACAGACTCGTCAAACGTTTACCGTATTGCCATGGGTATGTTTTTTTTTCATTCATTTGAGTTAACTAACTAATTATGTGCTACAGTTCTCCACCCTCACCACAAACTCCAGTACTTCAAGCAGGCAGGATGGCAGGCGGAGTGGATTGCTACGGCCGAGGCTCTAGTTCGCAGCCAGTACACAACATCTTATCGTCGTCGATCTCACGGAATCACTTCTGACGGAGCCCTGGATGACGTCGCTGACTCTGCCAGTGCTCACCAGGTACGTGAGCACACTCGAATACTGTTTACTGACTGACTGGTCCCCAGGGAGACTTTGAGAATATTTTTGACAGCTTGCCCGCACTCGCTAAGCCCCAGCGGCACATCGTGCAGAACGAACTCGATGCCTACCTTGCAACCGATATTGAAGATGTCGATGATGCTCTGCTCTGGTGGCACGAGCGCCGTCATACATTCCCCCGTCTCTCTCGTATGGCCCTGGATTATCTTACAATCCCTGGTAAGTTTTTTTTTTGTACGTGCTAATAACTAACTGATATATTCACACACATTGTAGCTACGTCTGTCGATGTTGAACGCATTTTTAGCCGCGGCCGTCTCGTTCTCTCCCATGTGCGTAATCGTCTATCGGCTCAATCAACACGCGCGCTACTCTGTGTGGGATCCTGGTCGTTGTTGGGCCTTGTCAAGGACGACGACGTCAAGGCTGTTGCAACCATGGCTGATGTCGAGGGTGATGACCAAGTAATGGAGGATGGATGGGATGACATCAAGGTATAATGATAGACTAGTAGTTTACATTTTGTCAGTACTATACTCGATTTTCTGCTCAAATTTGATTTTACCCTTGACGTACCCGCGAGCATTCGTGTACCCGTGCATACCCGCGGTACCCCCAGCGATACCCGTACCCCTTGTCATGGGTAGGGGTTTTGGCGGGTAGGGGTAGGGGTTAGCCCCTGGATACCCGGGGGTTACCCGTGCAGATCACTAATAGTAAGGGCAACGGTCCATACTTACTTCACTTTGACTAGCTGCTATGACAGCGACGCTCCCCTGCGAAACACCAGGAACTGAGTGCCTACGATTCCAGCGCTTTTTTGACAGAGAATTCATTTTGTTCAACATCACGGATGTTATACAGGCAAGTAGTTCAGGAGCCTCAGGAGTCAAGGCACTTTGCTCAAATCTGGCAAAAAGTCCAACAGGGTGCACGTGACGTTTATCGGAAGTGGTGAGATTAATTTACCGGTGCTGAATCGAGGGTGATGAGCTTTTTACCCCCTCCTCCAACGGTTTCCTTCACCAAGATCACAAGTGTCGATGCTACAAAATCAAGAGCGTTGTCCTGAGTCCTCAAGGCTCATTGCGAGATAATACTTGGCTCCATTTTGCGGAAAACCCTTCAAGTCGGCGTTTCTCATGCGAGACCAACCGTTTCGCTCCTCGACATCACACAGCTGGATCTGTCCTCACATGCATTTGCATTCCTTTCTGCCTGTGAAACTGCAGTCGGCGACTTTCAAACACCTGACGAAGTGATACACCTGGCGGCTACCCTGCAATTCGCTGGGGTGGAGAGTGTCATTGGGACGTTATGGAAGGTCAACGATATTAGTGTGCAGCGCTTGGTCGAGGCGTTCTACAAAAACTTTTGTGGGGATGGAACGATGAATTCAAAACGAGCTGCCCGAGCGTTGCACCGAGCGGTCCAATCGTTGGCTAATGACAAAGACATGCCTTTGGACCAGCGTATATTGTTCATGCATATTGGCATATGATCAATTTGGTGTGTCCTCCTACCTTGTTGATGGGAGTGTTCTTGACAATCTGACCACTTCTTGTGTAGTATCTAGTTGAGGCTGATGTGCAGCCTGTGGGGCCACCATCCTCAATGCCCGCCACTTTACTATCCAACATCTTTAATTGCACCTTCGATTCGGCAATACTCTCAGCGTTCCGCATTCCTCATTCATTCGCTGTGGGAATTCTCTTACTATGGCCATGTCTTATGTCACCGTCGTCGATACCCGCTTCGCTTAGACTCTTTGCTTATCGTCAAGTGGGAGCGCTCCCAGAAATATGTCTGCCGTCATCGTTTCCTTGGTGTCTGAGTGGGAGTATCAAGATATGATTCTCGACGTCACTCAGTCTTTTCATCCAAGACTATATCCCTTCCCTATTCCTAGTCCGAGCCTCTCAGTTTGACATCCTTCTAACATACCTTCCAGTCCGTTGAAACGACGCACACTCGGTTGCCTTTCAAAGGAAAGAAACGTTTTCACGTATCTTCCGCAACTAGTGTTAAATACTATTTTCGAACCGAAGCTGCGCAATGATCACACGCGATCATTTATCAGGAACCATCTGAATGCGCTGTTCTGGTATCAGTGACATTGTATTCAGATATTAAAGTTGGTTCAGTCTTTTTTCAAATAGTTCCGGTGGGCAAGTGTCATCTTACCCTGCACAAGAAGCTAATACGACATCTCCAGCCGCACTGTGAGCCTGACTGAATGCTATTTACTCTACCACGAAAATCCGAGTAGCACTGCGCTGTCCTTAAGAACGCTCTCGTAAGGATCGCGGACTTGCACTCCTGTATCAAGACGCACTCCTCTATATTTCCCCCCGTCTAAGTGGCCAAGTTTATCAGCGCTGTTTCGCAATGCCTGTATCGTTCGTACGCCACTCTGAAGTCGACGTTCTCATTATTGGGGCTGGCCCTGCTGGGCTCATGTGTGCGAATGCTCTGGCAAATGCGAGAGTAAATGTTCGGATCGTTGATCAAAGGTAAGCGGTCGATGACTTACATTCCTGCTTTTATCTTGATTTCCCGCTAGGGCTGCTAAATTAGCTGCTGGTCACGGTGATGGAATTTCACCTCGCACTATTGAAGTTTTGCAGGTGAAAATGCTTCTTTTCTGACCGACGTGACTTGGTATCAAATAGTTGAACACAGAGCTATGGACTTGCAGAGCGCCTTCTAAGGGAGTCCGCCCACATCCATCTAGCGGTACGCCTTTCAACACGGGCTTGCGGAATGCATGACTCATTGCATCCTAGGCCTTCTACAATCCTTCTTCGACCGGTGGTATCGAGGTTCGTAAATTCCCCTATTAACGAAGGTTATGCACTGAGCGTCGCCATTAGTTTACCAACAGAACACCAAACGTGACAGCTCCGTCTGCAAGATACCAATTCGAGGTGTGCTCATAAATTAGACAGAAACTGCATAAGCTGAATGAGATGAAGGCTGCACTCCATCAAGGAGCCATTGAAGCCATTTTCATAGATTCTATGAAAGCGCTCGGCGTCGAGGTTGAACGATCGACAATACCAACTTCGATAGAACTTTCCAAGGACGAGAATGAGTTGACGGATCCCACATCACATACAGTTCGCGTTGCGCTACAAAGACTAGACATATCTGGGGGTATACCACAAGAAGAGATTATCCATGCTAAATTTGTTGTCGGTGGTGATGGTGCGTTCCGAAGATATCAGCCTAGCTATCATAATCATTTTCCTTGACAGGCGCCCACTCATGGGTCCGCAAACAGTTCGACATTTCGATGGATGGAGAACAGACTGGTGAGAATATAGATTGGTTAGAATTTCCGGCAACCTCAGTCCTGATTGATAGATTCTATCTGGGGTGTCATGGACTTCGTGGCTGACACTGACTTCCCGGATGTTAGGAACAAATCCGTTGTGCGTTCCAACCACGGTTCGGCCTTTGTCGTACCTCGAGAAGATGATCGTACTCGCGTATACATACAACTGGAGGACTCGGATGTCATCAATCCAGCAACAGGCAGGGTAGACAAGGAGAAAATGGGTCCAGAGCAAATTCTTAAAGTACGCAGTTTCCATCCAATATGACGAGCAGTCATCGATATTCCTCTTAGGCTGCCCAAAAATCGCTTCATCCTTACAAGATTATGCCGACGAATGAGATTTTATGGTGGACAGTATATATAAGTATGCATCTGACTATCTGCCATGAATTCGTGTTTGTTTGACATTTTTGCTCAAGTTGGACAACGAGTAGCCTCAAAATTTTCTATCCAGAACAGAGTATTTATTGCTGGCGATGCTTGCCACACACACTCTCCAAAAGCAGGTAAGTGTCTTAAGATCGGCCCCTCGCTTTCAGTCTGGTTACAATAAAATCTTAGGACAAGGCATGAACGCAAGTATGAACGATAGTCACAATCTAGGTATGGTTTTCCTCCGAGACCTTGATTGAGCTAAAGGGCTCCCTCAGCTTGGAAAATTGCCCTAGTTCTTCGCGGGTGGGCAAAAATGTCCATTTTGTCAACAGTAAGCTCATGTGCAATTATTTGACTACTTGTTCACGCTCCGCCCATAGTACGAATCTGAGCGCCGGAAATTCGCATTAGACCTGATCGCGTTTGATAAAATGTGGTCCAGCCTTTGCTGTACCAAGCCCTTGACTGAGGAGAACGGCGATGGGGATTCGCGCGAACATATCTTGAAGTAACAATATACTACTAACAGTCTTGTCCTGTCACTAATGCCGCGGGGTTTTAGCGCTTTCCAAACAGACTTCACCAGTGGCATTGGGGTACATTATGACCCTTCGGTTGCAGTGAATGAGAACAACCAGGAGCTGGCCAGTGGTCTCGTGATCGGTAAACGTGTCCCTCCATACAAATTCCTCCGTGCAGCAGACGCATGTCCCTTTGAGCTCCAGGACCTTCTTCCTTCGGACTTTCGCTTCAAATTGCTCGTTTTTGTTGGTGAATTCGGCGACCCACTTAAGCAGGCGAGGGTCGAGTCGATGGTCACGGATATGCAGACACCAAAGTGCTTCTTGAACCGTTACGCGACACCTGGGAACTCGCGATTTGACATCATCACGATCAGCAAAGGCCGAAAGGAAGTTTTTAATTTTATGTTGCTCCCTACGCTTCTTCGTTCTCACTGGTCAAAGTGAGTGTGTTCTATTTTTGTCACGCGTGATGATATTGATTGAAGTGCTCTTAGGGTGTTTATCGATGACACCGATGTCACTCGTAGCTTCGGGGGAGAAGGTTACTCATATTATGGAGTGGGACAGGAGGGCGCCTTGGTTGTTGTTCGTCCTGATGGCTATGTTGGAGCCATCGCACCACTGGATCATGTTGAGGTGCTTAACGCGTATTTCGCGTCGTTCATGAAGATTTGAGGATTTCTGCTTAGTTTTCAACTTTCAACGTCAAATCTTATTTACATACAGCGTAAAGCCACAGAATACAGATATATATCACGTTGATATCCCATAATTCATTGAGATATTCGAACACAGTAGTATATATTGAAGACTGCAAGTGAAAACGAGATGTGTCCATGAGAGCATGAGAGCAGTAGAGTAGTATCCAGTCCATGAGAGCAGAATGTGAACGCGAATGGAGCCGGTAAAATGATTGTGTGCAGGTATGCGAGAGCGAGGTTTCAAATCATTCACACGCCCATGAACAACCTTGAATTCATGGACAAAGAGCATAGAATAAGTAATCGAAAGGTGTACATCCAGAAATTTTCGACAGAGTTACAACCGCAATCAAAAGTAAGTCACGTATCTGTATTATGCCACAGCTCTAGATGATCTACACAGGATGCTGTTTGGATCCGTTGAGCAAAGACCATCCCAGATGCAACCGGTCGGTTTATAACGACATCCCGCGATTCATTCACTGCTCGTAGATTAAACAGAATGCGTGAGGCGAGGACACTGCGCACGACGGTCTGTGGGCTGTTCTGACTCAGCATTGAATGTGTGATTAAGCATGATAGAGTTTACCCTGCCCCATAGAAACGACGAGCATACGATATCTGGACAACCTCAGAAGCTTATCTTACGATCGAAGGCAAGCCACTTACAGGATGCACAAGAATAGCGATCCAATTCATCATCGATAAAACTGTACAAATTAAGGCCGTGTTCCCGTCAAGAATCGACAAAACTCACAAGTAATGCACAGCATGTAAAGCACGCCATCTCGATACATAGTACCAACCAATGGACTATTCTCAAGTCGGTAGAATTTAAAGCGTTTGTAGAGTGTCAGGGACATCAAGACTGATGGAGGATAGTGATCACTGGGCGAAATCATCGAGATGCTACGTACCAAGCTGAAAGATCATGTGCAAACCATAAATGACACCTTGTTGTCCCTCCCATACACCACACTTAGGATCTAGAATATGGGATGAGCAGAAGAAATGCTGAGGGGGAGATGCATACTTGTTGATTTGCTCGCAACGACATTTATGATTGTTAGCATGACTGCTATTATGGCCTAAAAATAATGTGTGATATTTGAGCAACAAGAAAATGGGCAAGAGGCAGGATTAAGGTCACCGTGCCGAACAACGATATCGCAATCAAGATCCTTTTTTCACCCCCACAAAAGACATACGTCCTTGCCACAAGCAGGGCTGAAAAGAAGTTAGGGGGGAGGAAATCGTCTTGGCTGGGAGTGGATACTGACCGTCAGCAGCAGCAGAACCTAAGATATTCATGGCTATCAAAAGGCGTTGAGCGTTCAGAGCAGTTTAAGCGAGGTTATTATATACGCAACTGCCAATTACAGCAATGAACCCCTCAGGATTTGGCTGAAATATCGTCAGGGATACTTGAACTCCGTCAAAAATTCAAGCTTACAATTCCTCTGTGAGTTGACTCGACGGTATCTGCCCGAGGAACTTGTCAGTGAAGATCGAGAGTAGACAGAGTGTTACGAGTACTCACAATATAGGTACATAGCAACGTTCACAATTGGCACATAACGAGAAATAACAAATGCTATCCTCATGATCCCCCACTTTCTCCCCCATGTCCAGCGAACCTGACTTTATGTTAGTTTTCATAAGGCAATCAAAACCATGCCAACCTCCAAGTCGAACGTAATGCAGAAGTCAAAAAGCTGGAAAAGAATTGGTAATAGGTTCTATCGTGACATTTGTTCCTCCTTACTAAAGTTGCTGTGGATGCGACTGTCACAGGAATTCAGTTGTGCAGGACAAACGAATAATCCGAGCGTAGACTAGTACCTTCAACATACTGAACTCGAGTAAGCAAATGAAGGCTGACAGGAAAGGCGGGGTACGCACTGCGACAGTTTGACGTCTCATGAGATCTGCACAGTGACCCATCCTGGGCTGAGCTAAGGAACGGCTATCTTCCTTCTATGTAGTCTGTCTAGGGGGAGACTAGAGTCTAGCGGCATCTGGGCATATACTTATATGCATTAACGTCAACTCTCTCCATAGCATAGCCGCATTGATCGGGAACAGAACATCATGCATCCTTCACTTCCGGGTCCGAGGCGCGGCCCGCCCCTGATGTTTGATGTCTCTTGGTGGTGCGCCCTAACTGATCAATGCATACTTATCATGATGCGGTATGGTTTGGGTATGGTATAACTGTGCTGTTGGTGGGAATTACATCGTCATCAAACCAAACATACCCCAAACGTATCTGCATCTCGTCCACAAGCAGGTGGAAGCAGACTAGGTGAGAAAGTCGAGTGTCGTAATGGGACTGTGCCCATGCGCTTGTTGCCCTCAGAACCACCACAGTTGAAACTTGACAACGAGAACGGGGTAGGATCGTAGTCGTATACGACACCACAGTCGACAACGAGAACGGCGGCGCCGGGTTGGGTCGTAGGTCGTAGTCGTATATGACACCGCAGTTGACAACGAGAACGGGGTAGGGTCTAGGGCCGCACGCCGTGGCCGTCATAGACGGCGACCGTCGTAGTCGTATCATACCGTAGTGTTGTGGGCAGAACTGGTTGTGCCTGGCAGATGGCAGAACTCCGTGAAAAAGTGCTGGCAGAACTTGGCAGAACCCAGGGTTGGCAGAGCACTAGTAGTCTATAATAATATGTACACTATGTGTAACTTTAAAAAATGTGAAACGAGTCACAGATGCTCTTGGCTGATCCTTCGTCCCAGAATATGGTCCATGCTGGTGGCCACCCAGTGCCATCTCTAATCAACGACAACTTTGAGCGTCTCGACAAAGTTGTTTCCGATCTCGGCACCACGCAATCTGCAGGGCACTTGTAATCTTTCAGTTGAAACATTTGAAACACTTGGGAAGATTCGCGCAAACCTTCGTTATCAGCAAGCTAAAAGAGCGGAGGACAACCGAAAGCCTGCACGTCATCGGCATATGCATATGCATACTCGCGAGGAGGTTGGAATCAATGTTGACGTCGCCCAGGATCTGGAAGCCAATTTCGCATGGGCGCCTCCCCTCGCAGCAGAACCACAAGATGTAGACGACCTCCTTGCAGGTCCCGAGACCATATCAGCTGACGAAATCGCTGAAGCATTTGATGCTCTCGAAGTACAGGAGAATCTAGAATAATTTGTGAGTATCGACAACGCAGAGGTCCTTGGAGGGAAGGCATTTGATGGGACGAGGCGTCGTTGATGTCTTCAGTAGGACTGTCATTGATGTCGTATTAGATATGAAATTTTGAGAACGTCCGGGAAATGGACACTCTGGGGGTACCTCTGTCACGGACTCTGGGGGTTTTGTATGGGTCCACTCTGGGGCGACTCTGGGGGCATGTCAGCCGCTCGGCTCAATTCTGTCGGAGTCTAATTATGTCATCTGTGGTTCTCGCTGTACTTCCCAACGTTCCTCCCACCCCTCCCGCCCTCGGTGTCTTGGTTGCCCGCCCGCCGTTCTTACGAGATAACATTATCTTCCTTCCCGATGACTACGATGACCACATCCTCACAGCCCCTACCCCCAGCTGAATTAGCTGTCATTGCTGGTACAGCCCTACGGATGACAATGATCGGACTCGTTTTTGACTGCCTCGTCTGTGGAATGGCAATACCTCTCACCATCTGTCAGAGTGATCTCAATGGCAATGCAGGCAAGCCAATGGCTCGGGTAAGTTCCTGTTGAAACTTCTGTTGAGATCGCCGTGTTGACCTATCCATAAGCACGGACATTGCGGATTCCTCAAATGGTTTCCCGAGCTTCTCCGTTTTCCAGATATCATGTCACGGTTGCCAGCTACAAGTCCCCGCCTTTTCGGAGCATCTCCATCTTCTGCTGTGCCTGCCGGTATGCAGGTGTCCTCTCTTGGCGCGGGATTTTCCACGCTGCCAGTGTCTCAAGGGAAGAGAACGCGCAAACGTGGTCCTGATTGTGCCCGAGATGATTGTCGACGTCCTAGCGCTCTCCGATGTCCAGACGCCAAATGTGCTGCGCATTGCATCGAGGATGGGGGGTGTCTGATCCACCAGGCACCCACATCGGACCAAGACACATGCCGTCGTGAAGAGCTTGACCTGCCGTCACAGATTGATGCTGAAGGCTTTGGGTATTACGACCTTCACAAGGCCCTGTCGGCCTCTCTTGAGGGCCGAGAAGTGCCAACACCCCTTCCTACTCACGTCCCATCCATACACGACATTCTGACGGCTCCCCCACCCCTTGCAAGTGGTTCCATGCAACCACTCCGGCCGCATCATACTACTCTGCCAATGGCGACTCCGGTTGCAAAGATGTCCAAGCCTCCGCGTATAACTAGCCAGCTTGACCCAATGTGGGAGAAAGATCTTCGTCAGTATGCACAGGACGACATCGAGAGCAAGCGTATAGCCGAACGACGAAAGGAAATCGAACGAAAATCCAAGCAGCGGTTCGTATTGAACTGGTTTGATGCGGTAAGCAATCTTGACCTGTGTCGGTCACTACGGGAGTTTGACTTTTGTTTTTGCCAAGGACTACGCTCCCGTCAAACGGCAATGGGTTTCGGACTGCAAATACTTTCCGTTCTATCAGCTGGTTGATGATGCAGAACTGGTCGCTTCTCTTGGTGACAGCATTACGAAGATCGAGGTCTTCGAGGACCGTCTGAAGCAGTGGATACCTGCATCCCTTTCGCACCCACATCAGGAAAACATCGAGTTCCTTTTTATCCCTTATTTGCTTCTTATTTGCCCTTATTTACCTTAATTCACACTTAAAACCTCCTTAGAATAAATAATTCTAAGGAGATCCATCGCCTTAAACCAAGGAGCTTTCCCCGAAACCTCCTTATTTTAAGGCAGTTTAATGAGATAAGGCAGTCGGAAAGTGTGAGGAGATCGAGAAAAATGATTACCTAATGTCACCACTTTATTTTCTGCCACTGACTCGGTTTGAACTCTCAACCATGCACTCACCAGCTGAGATCAGCTGATTAGTTCCCACAATTTTGAGCATTACTTACCACTACACTAAATGACCTTGTATATGTGAAGGCAGCAACCAATATATATACCATATCTGTTGGACTTAGAATAAAATACAACACTTTATCCTAATACGATAGGTCTACCATTAGCATTTTGATAAGGAGTGACTATGGTGGACCTTGTGAATTTTTTCGAAGAAAATCAAAGTTATAGCCCTTGTCAAGGGTAGTCTTTCCATAGTCTCATGACATTTTTTGGTTAAGATCCTAATGAGTTATAAGCAAAATACTACGAAGTGGTGTGTTCAAGAAAGTTCAGGCACACAAGTAATATGACTAATGTTTCCTTAATTTTCCTTAGCCAACTTGCACCTAATTAATTCTACTTTTGTCGAAATAAAACAAAAAAACCAACTTATTCTCCTTAGCTACCTACTTAATTCTACTTATTTTCCTTAGCCGCCTTAGTAATTTTTTTAAGTAAATTAAGGAACTCGATGATTTCCTGATGCATTTGTCCTGGAATCGGAGTGTCATGTTTATATCCGTCGTTTGGGTGTTACGGAGTGCCTTGACTTCGACACCCTTCATACATCATCAAAGGAATCTATGCGTCCCGCGCATCTTCGCCTCAATATCAAACGAGAACGTGATGGTGTTCGCTCGAAGCTCAAGGTGAAACGAGCACAAACACCCTCTGAGCAAGATTTCGAATCAGATGACGTGGAGATCATTGAAGATGGTACACAAGCCACGCCGAAGCCTTCTGTCAATGCACTAGGCAAGCGCCGCTGCCAGGGTACCCCCGAGAGCAGTCCAATACAAATCCTCCGACCTCCCTCCACTCGACCGCGTTTGGAACTTGATTTCGATGCCCTCCGTGCAACCTCATTGTCTCCAACACCTCCACTGTCCCCATCACCAGTGGACTCGGAATTCTCATCAGACTCATTGATTTCGGCATATTCTCGATCCTCAATGTCTTCTGTTGACTCCATCGTTTCGATGCCACGGCCATCCGTCATACCCGTCCATGTTCCAACATACAAAGGCAAGCAAGTCTGGCCATATAGTATGTATACATGTGATATGCTGGTCGGCTTTCGTCAAATGGATTCACCAGTCCTCCGCAAACACTATCCCCAAGATGAGCTCTTTAACCTCGTGTTCGGTGTTCCATTCGTCCGCGCAACCTACCATCAAAACCGCTCGGCCTGGGCCAACAGCGAGCGTGTTCCATCTCTCGCATCCATCCTTCGTGGTCATGAACGTGCTGGACGCACCTTGGATGGCCTCTGGACGTGCTATTTGGCTTCGCGCCGCCACGTGTTGGGCGAGAAGAGTAAGAAGAAGTCTATTAGGTCCAAGTGATTTTTTTTACATTCTAATTTACATCACACGGTCTTTACCTTGGATATCTGGGTTTCCTTATCACCATGGTCATTCACTAGATTTGTATCTCACGATTTTGTCGGTGTCATCATTCAATATGAGTTGTGTTTGTCCTGTCGTGTCTGATAGGTCCGAATTCTTGATGAGCTGAGTGCTGGGATCAGATTGTGCCGTTTTGGAAGAGGCTGGTGTGGTAAACAGATCACGACGAGATGGTACATCATCATAATGGAAAACATTGTAACAGTGACTACAACAAGGAAGAGAGGCGAGGATGATGGGGCTGTTTACCCTGTTTACGTAGATTGATGATGGTAGCACGATTGCGTCGCAGTATCATTTCATCAAGGAAGAAGTCATACTTGATTGGTGTCATCTCACGGCACATATTATGAAACCCACCAAACCAGACGTTTGTCTGCTCCGCGATCGAGGAGTTGAAGTAATATTTGCCGTCTTCATCAAGCAGCTCGGGGTAGGCTTTCATGCTGCAGCGCTCCTGGCAAAACTTATCACTAGCCTTGTGTTTCGTCGTGTGGTGGAAAGCGTCTACACACATTCCAATCCCCTCGAAGAACTCCATCTTCCTGCTCTCGACCTCACGCAGAGCGTTGCAATTGGAATCGTATATGAGATGCTGGGGTTTTCGTGCTCGTGGAAGAGAGAATGTCTTCTCAAACAAGATCTGTGATCCGTAAGTCAGTGCGAGCCCAAAACGAGGGGTATTAAATGACATACCAAGACATTCGACACGGCTTCGTGATGGTACATAGTACCTCGTCCTGAGATAATGCCACAAGGACGCACAAACAGCTGCTCATTGTTGGTTCGCTTCCGGAAAAAAATCGCCTTGAGCTTCGGGACATCGTCCTTGCTTGGGCATGCTTCAAGATCGTGACGTGGTTCGTTCTGCGTGGGTGAAGGATTGATGTCGACGACTCCCGTCGACAAGGCCACAGATGCCTGCTTGAGGCGCACATTGCCAGTTGACTCGTCGTGCTCGTACCATTCATCAAAGTCTTCAACGGGCAAATCATCTTCTGGATGATCGTGGGACGAAGCTGCGAGTGCGTCATTCAGCTTAGCAGTCTTCATCCTCTGGGTCTTGCTCTTTCCACTCCGTGAGAGCACTGCTTTCGCATCCTCCATCTTCATGTGGAGCGGGTCACTGCAGGTTTTGCGCAGCTTATCACTTTGACCACGACAGCTAACAGGTTGGTCACACCCATCAACGGCACATATCATTTCGAGCTGGCCATGACTGGGGTCGGCCAAACAAAAGCGATTGCGAGTGCTGGCAAGGGCATTTTTGCAGTGTGGCACGGCACAACATGGCCGTCCGACGGTGATGCCATCAGTGACAACGACCTCGGCATAGCGTGTGGTGCCATCAGGCATGGAAAAGAGGTGCATGCATCCATAGCACGCATGTGGGAGCTCGTCTTGGCCTTCAGTAATAATCCTCTCATTTCGGGCACGCATAGCAGCAGTGTAGCGAGCACTCTGAGAATTGCCATGGGGCACGCAAAGTCTTGTGTTCTGAAGCTGATGGTCGTCGAGGAGTGCTAAGACAGTGAACGCATCCCATACTTCCTCGGTCGTGACAGTCGTGCTAAACTGCCATTCACGGGTGACATTTTCGTGTCGAGCTTGTGCCTCGTTGTACAGACGAGCACAGTTGGTAGCGGAGACACTGTGAAACAGGTTAGAAACATGAATGAGAGCTCGTAAAAACACTCACGGGATTCGCATCAGGTCGATCCAGTGCATCGCAAGCTCACGTTCGACAAACTGATGCTCCCCAATTTGGATGTATTGCGGTACACCAGAATAATACTGCCTTGATGTCCCGTGAACGGCGTAATTGTTGTGGTAATTTACCTTGCACACTGACGAAGTTGAGATCAGCTGGACTTGGAGTCGAACATAGAAACTTACATCTGCATTTTAAATGGACAGACCATGCACAGCGAACACCGAATGCCTGAGTGAAGATGACAACACGACGGGGCTCGTCCTTTTTCAGTGGTGTTGCACGTTGTACAGCAATGCAGTCTGGGTTCACGCACATCTTCATCGGAGGATACAGAACGTAGGCCGCTACGAATTTATTTTAGCGTGGAGTACAGTTCCGTCGAATCGATACTCACAGATGCCTTGGTCCTGGCCATGATGTTGAAACATTGCCTCGATAGCCTCGTGTTCCTCACTGTCAGCAGGAAGGGTCCATGCGACATGTTTGACTGCATCCCACAGCATATCAACTGCGTCACAGGATATATCAAAGGATCTGCTAAAAAAATTGGTGATTCCCGGAGGTAGAACATCAGGGGCAGTGGTGACAGGAACACCGTGAGGCTGAGGGAGGAGTATATCGTCCTTGATCATGCTCGCACAGCGAAGGAAGCGTGTCAGAGCAATGTATGAAAGGTCCTGCAATTCGGGGTGATGGCTTAGATCAAGAGCTGGGAATGGAGTCCTGACGTCCATGAAGCAGGCTGTTGTTGTAGAAGGTCGTGATCGTCGTGGTTGGTGGTCACGGTGGTTGTGGCTGACAGCGTTGAGGCTAATGTCAGCTATCACGGGGTGTGCGGCATCACGTGCGTTAGAAGTACATTGCATGACACCCAGTAGAACTTTGACAGCCTCATACAAAGGAAGAGCCGAAGTACAGCGAGAACCACAGATGACATAATTAGACTCCGACAGAATTGAGCCGAGCGGCTGACACGCCCCCAGACTCGCCCCCAGAGTGGACCCATACAAAACCCCCAGAGTCCGTGACAGAGGTACCCCCAGAGTGTCCATTAGTCTGACTTTCTGGAAATTTTCACCGCTAGAGTTGTGCCACCCGGCAGAACTGGTTGGAACTTCTGCCGGTTCTGCCGGCACTACTAATCTCAAGTAGCTGGCCACAACACTAGCCACCCGGCAGAACTGGTTGTTCTGCCGGCACTGCTAATCTCAAGTACTGCCCACAACACATTGTACTAATGAATTGACAGCATCCTGATCAACGGATCCGGAAGTGAAGAACCCGCGATCCGATCAACATGGTTTTCACATGCTACGGAGGGACTTACTATGCCTCTCCGGCAAAGGCCCTGAGTGCTGCTAGTCCGATGTCTCTTAGCCATATCTGATAGAAGGAAGACAATCGTTCTTTCAACTTACCTCGGGATGGCTAACCATTATGCAGAATCTGCGCCCATCGCACTTCAAACTGTCTCAGTGCGTACCCCGCCTCACCAGTCAACCTTCATGTGCTCACTCAAATTCAGTACATTCAAGGTAGTCTACACTCGGATTCACATTTTGTTCGGAAAGACTAAATTCCTGGGACAGCCGCATCCGCAGCAGCTTTTGTAAGGAGGAATGAATATAATGCAATCATAACTAATTTTTTCCTTAGTTTTTTGACTTTTGCATCACTTTCAGCTCAGAGGTCAGTATGTTTCAATGGCGATATGCAAAACTGACATAATCCAGGTTCGCTGGACATGGGGGAGAAAGTGGGGGATTGTGAGGATAGCCTTTGTTATTTTTCGCTATCTGCCAATTATAGGATTTGCTATCACGATGCTAGTGAGTACTCATGACAGTCTGTCTATTCTCGCACTTCACTGATGAGTCCCTCGCGGGATAGCCACTGTCGAGACAACTCTCAGAGGAATTGTAAGTTTGGATTCATGTAACATAATTCAAGTATTCCTGACGATATTTCAGCCAATTATTATTATTGGAAGGTACCATGCTATAGCTAGCAGTTGCGTAGATAACAATCTCACTCAACCCGCTCTGAATGCTCAATTTCTTTGCTAGTCATCATCATATTGACTGGTGCTGCTGCTAGAGGTCAGTATCAGTTCCGGGTCGGGTTGCTTTCCTAACCATGACTTCTTTTTTAGCCTTGTTCGTAACAAGGACGTATGCGTTCTGTGCATTGGAAAAGAGGATCGTGATTGCGATATCATTGTTTTCCACGGTGACCTTGATCCTTCCCCTTGGCCATTTTCTTGTTGCTCACATATCACACATGATTTTAGGTCGTAACAGCAACTGCAGTAACAATCGTAATTGTTGTCGAGAGTGATCCCGGAGGTCTGTATCTCCCTCTCCACATTTCTTCTGCTCACCCCAAATTCCAGATGTTATACAGTACGATGGTGTATTCGAGGAGGAACGACACCTTAGCATTTGTTATGGCTTGCTCGCGATTCATGAGATTGGTACGTAGCATTATTTTTTCGATGCTTGCCCAGCTGCCGCTAACCTCCGCCAGGATTGATGTCGCTGACAATGCACAAACGCTTCAAATTTTACAGACAGCAAAATACTCCATTAATTGCTACTGTATATCGCGATGGCATGTTTTACATGCTGTGGATTGTTCGTGAGTCTTGTAGATTTTTATCCAGCAGCGCGACCTTAGTTTTTTCAGTCGCCTCGGTAGCGAATTGCATCGGTTTTCTTGTGCTTCCTGTGAGTACCTTACCTCGGGTCGCAAGATCAGCTTCTGATCAGGCTGTCCAGCTATCATATGCTTCTCTTTTCACGAGGTAAAAATCATATCATGTTTTTAAATCCAAAACTGACTCAGAGAAGCCCGCAGCTAGTTCTGCAGAGCGTTCTTGCCTCACGCATCCTGTTCAATCTGCGAGCAACGAACGAATTGCCGGATGATGTTCTAATCTGGCCAGTTGCTTCTGGAATGGTTTTTGCCCCGATCCAAACACCATCAGGCGCGGATCGTCTCGACCTACTAGATATTACAGACTTGTGACTGATTTTCGACTATAGCTGTGCCTCTCTGCCTGCATGTTAGATATAGACCACAAGTCGAGGCTACAATGCTCGTCCATGAGCTTATTTACTGTATATATAATTCCAGTTATTGACGCTACACTCACCCAGTACTCATCACTGCCTTTCCTCAGTCCCCTATCCGAGACTGACGTACATCCATACATCCATTGTAGACATAACTTATACATCCACCACTGAGACAGAGAGTTCTGCATCACGTTGTTCCTTCTCCAACATGGAATTCTCGTCTCTGCGTGCACCTTCGATGACCGGTGTAAGGTTGGCTACGGGTCCATTGAACCAATACACGCCTCCGTACACCGGGCAATAATACCAGGAAATAGCAAGGGCCATGTACCCTCCAAGGACCACAGCTGTATAGTTCATCTCTTGTGCAGTCGTTTGCGGGGTCGAAGGAAAGGAGAAAACGACGATCATGAAGACCATCGACGAGACTGCTATCGCTGCGATTGGAAAGCTCTGCACGGGCATATTAGCTCAGGAATGGTGAATACATCCACTATGGTCAACTTACGAGTTTCCCAAGATGAAATGGGCCGGGTTTAAAGTCGTTCTTGAACGCAAAGCGGGTTGCGATCGGCGTTATGAACGAGACATATGATGCAGTGAGACCAATCGTGAATACCGCATTGATGGCCGCGGTGCTCACGAACGCAAGAAGTCCAATTACTATAACAAAGATAGAATCGAACCAAACTGTATTAACGGGTGTTTGAGTGTAGCGATTGATCCGGTACAGATATCGTGAAAATGGGAGAGCTCCATCACGAGCAAATGCAAATGTCTGGCGAGAGCCGACCAGGAGGGAGTTCGATGCCACTATGTACCTGCTCTGTGATTAGGCTATGAGTGTGTCACGCGCTGCGAAAACGTACAGCGTTGAAATAATGAGACACCACAGAGCCAAGGCTCCCTTCTTCCCAAGCGAATTATACAGGATCTGCGCCATAGGCTGGCCGATAGGGCTATTTAAGATGCTTTCGAGGTCGGTGCCCATGCAAAAGGCAAGGGAGACGTTGATTCCTGGATAAGAAGTCACCATCAAGATCAGAGTGACAGGTTGTTCCACATACCCCAACCAAGGACAACCGACACGCCAATAGAACTAATCTACCTGGGGTAAACACAACAAGTGGTCATTTTGTGGGGTTACTCACTATTGCCCATGGTATCGCAGTGGCAGCGTTTGAGGCCTCCTCACTCATATGGACGCTAGCATCATAACCCCCTGGTGATTTAAAGGTGGTCAAGAACTGACAATTCGGGAGAAGAGGATCTCACCTATTGAATAAAGAGGAGCCATAAAGCTCAAAATAAACGCGAATCCAGATGGCCAGCCAGCCACTGTAACCAACCATGAGCTGTGATTGTAATCGGCAGAGGATACATACAGTTTGTGAAATCCCCTAGCGCAAAACTTGCGCTGTTTCGGTATTCTGGTGGTGTTGCGATCGGAAGCGCGATAATGACTATGAAGCAGAGGCTGTGGGAGGTTTTGAATCAATGCGTATGGGTGAACATACAATACCTACCACAAATTTACAAACGTGTATATTCGCTGCAGTCTTGCCAAGACTTTAGTACCGAGGCTCACGAGGACGGCATGTGACAAGACTAAAGCTGCGTATATACCGCTGTGGCAACCAATATGAAAAGTGTCATGTCTGGAACAGGATGTCCTTACTAGAGCTGCTTGTTAGTAGTTACATACGTCTGGTCAGTGGCAATACTGATTGCTGCTGCAATTTGGATTGCACAAGCCCAATTTACGGAAGCTAGCCCCACACAATCAGAGACAGGCTGTTGAAAGAATGAAACCCGATTTACCGACTCCCGTGATAGTCTGTATGGTATTCGAATCTGCAGACGTCAGGACGTGATGCACATCATATCGAAATGCAAGACTTACAGCCAACTATCCACGACAGAAAACACCGGCAGCGCGGAGAAGCGAGTGAGTAAGTCCAATAATATAGCTAGAATTTCATGAATGAAGTGTGAAACAGCGACGTGTGCCATGTACATACACCTCCAGAAGTAGGCGCTGCTGACGCGAGCTCCGCCATTGCCAGCCCGATGCACATAATAAAAGGTCCCACAAATGCCCACTGCACAGAGGGAAAGGTTTACAAAACAGTAATTTTCATGTATGATGGCAACTTACCCCCCAAACCATAGCGACAGGCCCACCATTTGGTATGGCATAAAAGAGCACGGAGCTGGATAGATTTTCATTAGTGGAGCGATGTCAATAAGCTTGCGTCACAGTGGCAGCTTACGCTATACCAGGGAGCACTCCTGTATAGCTGAATGCAAGTCCAGACACCTGTACAACTGTCGGATTGTGTTTGAACGGGTCTGATATCAAGCTCACCTCTAATGGACTAAATTCCCTACGAAACTCCTGCTTGTATCCTAGCTTAGCTAGAACAGCCTCATCAGCGCCCGGTTGCCACTTCGAAGTCGCGGGAGCTCTGGTGGCCATATCGTATCGCTGCAAGTGGGCGATTTCGAATGAGCCACGTCACACAACATGGCGCGTGCGGCGTACTAAAGGAGATCGATAGATACAGGGAGAGCCGGCCGAATTGTCCTCAGTAAGATCCACATTATGACCGAGGAAGCCCTGTTCAAATGCCTATACGTCTGCGATTCAAACGGAAATTAACCGAAGCGTTACTGTTTATCCCGAATTACGGCCCAGCGTCCGGTTTGGGCGGCCAACCTGGGTAGAACATCCGGACTCATCGGCGAGGAAGCTGGGGAGTCCGACATCCGGACATGGGTTTCAAGTTTGGCAAGTACACTCGCAGAACATGAGCACAACCTCGATTTGAAGTTTTTCGTGAGCTCCTCGCGTGACCTAGCTCCGAGTTGTGGCATCCGTGCTTTTTTCCAACGCCAGGGTGAAATAGGCAAGTCCCCACCGGAGCTGAGTCGCAGTGTAAGTTACATGTTTTCCGAGTCTTTCAAAGTTCTTGTCGGGTTGGGTCCTGCTCGATAGTAGCTCGAGGAGCACGCTCATCTTGAGCATTATCTGGGTCCACAGCTCTCGATCGGAATCGAAGATTGATCCTTATTCAGAGACTTCTGCCAACAGCAGGTTTGTTCAATTATTCATCAGGCGGTCATCTCCACTCACATGTTGCATTTCAGACGACATCAATCTGCATCTCCCGAACCTTTTGCTTCCACTGGCCGTTCCATATTGAAGAATAACGTGAACCAAAAGGCCACTGTCCGTGATGCTACCCCCAATGAGTGTAGCCCCGAAGGGACCACCAAAAGTCCTAGTCATCACGATCACCGTAAGCGCCTGCGCTTCCAGGATATCTCATCTGAAGGTGATGATCATGTCGAGGACCCCGGATTGCCGTCAAAGAGAAAGAAGACCTTGCTCACAACAGTACGTTCACAACATCATAAACATTGAATTGAAGATCGTCTTATTCGTGCCAATTTTGCATACAACAACCCTCCTGAAGTTGTATACTATATGAATAAGCGCATGCTCAAACTTTCGCGTATCACTCGTAGGGCTATTGCTGCGAGTATGCGACATGACCGCCTTCGCAGCCGCGAACTCGAACTGCTGAAGTCCATCCTCGACGAAGGCATCGAGAAGTCCAAAACAAAGCTGGATGGAATTGATCTACAGATCAGCTCCATCGAAGACACGCTTCGCGATGCAGGAGTAGACATAGGGAACCAAGAGCCTAGTTTATCCGAGGACAACGTCAGGATGTTCTCTGGTGATGAGCATGACTCTGAGGCAAGTTGGCATGAAAATGACTCTTGCAGTGTTTCTTCTTCCGGATCTGCCTCGTACTACGTGCCAGAGCAATCATTCGATTAACTTTACTGTCGATCTCTATCCGCTTTCCATGTCTGCGTCGATCAAGAGAACGCCGTGCCTTATTTCTCCATCTTTGTAAAAATAAATCAGTGATATTCTTGTCAGTCACTAATGGATCGTGCTAGGAATAGCTGACAACGGCGGTCACTACGTATACTCAATCCTAGACTAGTTGTCACGATCTCTTGCACGCGGCCTAGTTGATCACTGCCATCATGAATAGTTGACCCGATACCAACGCGTCGTAGCATCTATAACACAGGCTATACAATACACGTCGGAGAGCGAGTGCAGGAATCCTGATAACCAACCAGAATGAGTGCAACAAGAACATTCGAGCGAGTGCGATCCCTTCGGTTCAAACTCGGGACAAGTCTTGTATTTTTCCTTCATTACAGCCTCACGCATCTGGGCGAAAGTGCTACATTTTGAATTGTTATTGGACGCGTAAGGAAGTGGCGGGTGACAAAACAGAAACATATATATGCGAGCGAGAAAGACATGTGAAAGTGAAAGAAAAAAGTTGGCAAAGAAGAGAATTACTCGCTGCTCGGAGCTCATAGGGAAGAGATCCGATCGGGAAGTATTTCTTTTCCTCGCTTAGTGTAGCAGCTGGAGAGTCAACTGGTCACTGGGGTAATGCCAATGTCGGCGAAGGGAGTGGTGGGCGAGAGAAAGTGCGGGACACGTTTCAACCTAGACACTTACAAAGTTCAGCATACGTACTGTCGAACGCCGAACCTGAGAGAATGCGCGAGTCGTATAAGCCGGAAAACCGTTCGAGGCCCATTTGATCCAAGTCGGAGCATGAATCGATCGTCCTTGTCTTCAAAAGCTTCAAGCTTCAACTCGAAAGCTTGAACACTGGCTCAGTCCGAATCGCACATTAGTACATGTGGAAGGCCGTCACGGTCGACGGCGACACTAAGGAACAGACAATAACATGGAAGAGAGTATGATTGAAGGATACGGAAAGGAGGTAATCCGTAAGTGCATGAACAGCGCTGTATATATAGGGATCAGTATTTGGCGGTGTCCAATCAGCTGCGACGACGCCTCTAAGGACGATGACGTTGTATGTCTATGACGTAGTAAGCCGAGGTCGGCTTACAAAATGTGGTCTGGGGGTTATTCGGAACTCTCTTAGTACGCCATAGCACATGCCCCGATGACCTGGACCATGGATCACCCAGTGAGTTGCAATCGATGGTGCGACGAGAACCACTCCCTCTGCAGTTCCTTTTCGTTCAGAGTGATTCAGACGACATTCGTCTTGGTCGCCGAGTGCTACCCTGACGGTCGTTCGTCGCACCATGTTAGCATCCGATCTTTACTCCGGCATCCCTTCCAAGTCTTGCGCAAGCATTCCAACATATCGGGTGACCCGGATTGGACATCATTCAAAAAGAAGCAAGCAAAATATTGTTGTAGAATGGATTGCCCGAGATGACTAATTCATTCACGTCCGCGATGGGCACGGCCCCAAGGACAGTAAATGTAACTTTAATATCCTACAAGTATGTATGAATATGTGTGAATCCATATAATCACGCCTTTGCATCTACCGTTTGCTTCCCCATACGGTGTATTTGCCACCAGGTCCTCCAAGGATAAAGTATCGGCCACGCTGCGCGCTGCACCAAAGTATCCTGGCGTTTGTGGAACCAGCTCTGTTTCTGAAGTGAGATGACGACGTAAATCGTGATAAGCGTCAATGCAACGGTGGTCTCCACGTAGTGCGTGAGTGTCTGTGTCCCATTGTTGATCTCTTTGACGTTCATCCCAAAGATAGACTGGGGGCATATGCGGTCAGATATTAAGTTCTGTACAAAAGACCTATGTGCTTACTGCAATGAAACTTGCCGGTAGGAAGACCATCGTGAGGTATGAGAGCCTCTGCATCCGTCTACTGTCCTCAGTATTAACAATCGCAAACGCAAGGTCCGTCGCATTCTTCAGTCGATCGCTCAGCATCTTCCGTCGCCTTTCTAGACGATCTATTTCGCCGAGTACATTACTGCACTCTTTCTTCATAAGTTCATCCGAGTCCGCGCGCTGTTCGTTAGTAAATTCGGATTCCATGGCCGGGTTGGGGGTCACCAGTAGCTGTAGGATAGATGTATCAATTCTTGTAGCACCGCAAAAAATCGGGTACAAAAATGCACTCACTCACCATGTGCTGAACAGTGTCAGATGCATGATACATCACAGCTGATACATCACATTTGCGAGCTGATACATCACATTCGCGGGCTGATACATTCGACACTAGCACTGCGTGTTGGCAGGGGGTTTAATATTTGTATACCTTAGCTAGATACAGGCACAGCTATATAGATATATACAACAGACTCGTATATAACGTGTCCGAGTAATGGACAATGAAATCGGCGCGACCTTCGAGAGCAGACTGGCGATGAACAAGATGGGTGCGGCCTCTCTATCTTGCCTTTCGTCCTCCCTTTCGTCCTCCCTGTGAAGTTGGCGTTACCAATCGAACCATCGGACATGTATACATAGCGGCTACTCACTTGGCATTAAAAATGGACAAGTACAACGTCCAGAAGACACCACAGGCGGACTGGAAAGGTATTCTATACGGCAGCGGCATATATCGGAAACTAATCATCTGCGAGAAATTAAGTTCACCATCGACGAACAGTTAAGCGTCCTTGGACTTACTTGTGCTACAGTCCAAACCTTCCAGTTGGTGAGAAGAGCGGGATAGCGACCACGGCGTCAGTCTGCAAACGTATCAAATATTTAAAGGAAGGTCTCACATTATTAGCTGGTCGGCAGCCACACATTTTGAAAGAGCTCTGAAGCTGATGCGAGGTTGACTTCTCCGCTCGAAGAGGAAATCGTCGTAATTCGGGTGAGTGTGGTATGCATGCTGATAGGCACGGGCGATAGTGAGAGTGGCCATACGAGAAGATAGGAGGGATGAACAAAAACTTGGATGGTAGTAGTTATGAGACAAGCTCTACTGCTTGACACGTGTAGCCGTCCAGCGCCGGGAAGCGGCAACTGCACAAGGACAATCGGAAGCTGTAGAGATAGAGTCGGACACTGCCAAAACGCGGATGTCGTTGTGGAAGTGGAGAGCAAGGTTAATTTCAAACTCCGCGAGTGTGGGGTTCTCAATTAACCTCTGAGTCACTATACGGTCTGCACGCGCACGTCGAATAAACCCTAGCGTTGGGTTAACGTTATATTTACGTCTGCAACTAGGTATGCGTTGAAGCGTGTTGAAGGGTTGAGTTGACGCCGCATATACCGAGCGGAAATCAAGGTGAGGAGGCTTAAAAGTATCCACCATCGTTGCGCGGAGCGTCGACTTGGAGTATCAAGTTTACGACTTAGTAACAGCTGGCTGATATTTGGTGGCGGTGACGTGGCTGAAACCTTGGGGACCCTCCAGAATTTCCGCCAACTCTCAGCCGTCGGAATTTTTGGACAACACGCCGTGTAGGTAGCTGATACATACATCATATTCGCCGATAGATCAAACTCGAGCCTGATACGAATAACTAATCTTCTTCTGCTGCAGCTAATGTGGAGGGCCTTCAATAGTGAATGTGCCGTCTGTATCAGCAGTGCCCAGTGAGCTATCGTCATCCAGCTCAGCAGTCACGACGGTAGGGACAATGACCCACTGTTGCTTGAATTTTTCCAACATGGCTTTACGGAGTGCAGATTGTCGGTTTGCGTATGCTGCGGATCCTTCGCTGTCTGCCGACCTCTCGAAATGGCGCGCCAAGGCCAGTCCAGACCACCACGTACTCTGCCAGGCTAAGAATGTCAGCACCCTCCGCATCTCTTCGAGCAAAAACAGCAATTCTTCGGACCAGCGTGCCTCTCGCGCTCTTGCCTTGCACCACTCGATGCGAAGACCTGCCAGCCATCCGTCAACTTCACAGCACGTTCAAATAAGATTGTGATACGTACAGTCTTGAAGTCCCTTGTCATTGTCTCGTAGCACCCCGGGTGTCTTCCATATCCACGGTATATCACGAGTACCTTCAGATTGTCCCTGGATGAAGTCACCCATGGGTCTCATGTCCGTTGCTCCAAGAGGGCGTAAGATATCGGTCCAGCCAACTTTTCCTAGCAAGGGAGCGAGGGCAAGAAGTGCGTCCCGAGCGGCATCATATTTTGCCTTGCTGGCATGCTTCTTCTCAACTGTGTGATCAAGAGTGCTGCGCGCACGAGTGGAGGCACGTTGACCGCGTATATTCGCCAACTTGAATGTGTTGAGGTGGGTGAATAGACGGATGTTCTGTCGAACGTCGTTCAATGTGTCATGGGCTTGAGCATACCGGAGTTCCCATTCACATTCGCGAAGTTTTTGGTCGCAAGAAAGGTGTGGGTCGAGCTGGGATGGTAACCAGAGTTTAAATTTCTCTGGCTTGAGTACTGCAGTGCCCTCCGAACGACAAGCATCCTCTGTGGCGCGGATTGGGGCAACTGCGGGCATGTAAAGGGCTTGGACTTGGGCCCAGTTGTCCAATCTACGTTGTAGAGCATTGCTTTGATTGAATATCTTGGTCTTCTGTGTGTCGGTCGCATGCTGACCCAGTGCAGAAACGTCCGTGGCCAAACGCCGTCTGTATTATTTTTCGTGAGAGGAGGTTCCAACGACATTGGAATACTTACTGCTGATCCTGTAAGTCAATACCTCGTTCAGGGCATCTGACTTGAAGGCAAAAATGAGGATGGATACATAGCCCCAGTGACCAAAGTACAGATACATTGTCCAGTAGGTAAGGGTCCTGGGACGGAGCACCATCTGACTTGAAGGCAAAAGCTTACAATAGATACATAGCGATAGATAGATACATAGTCCTCCCGGTGACCGAAGCACAGATACATCATGATAGGTAAGGGACTAAGCAAAGGGAGATCAGCCAGATACATCTCGAGAAGGACAGATACATAGCCCCAGAAGCACCCGCGCTAGCATGATCCACCCAACGGATACATCAAGTCAGCATGATAACATAAAAGATACATCATGATAGGCAGTAAGGGACGGAGCAAAGGGAGTCCAACCAGATACATCTCAAGAAGGATGGATACAAGCCCCGGAAGTGCCTGCGCTAGGATGATCCACCAAACGAATACATCAGTACGATAGGATAACAACAACTGGAGAGTCAGAAGCCGATGTATCAGATACATGACCTGAATGGGTGGAGCACCGGAATGGAGGATCCCATTGATACATCCCTGTCCACCAAACGGATACATCAGTATGATAGGACAACTGGTGAGTCAAAGGCCGATGTATCAGATACATGACCTAAATGGGTAGAGAAGCGGAATGGAGGATCCCATTGATACATCCCTGCGATAGCTGAGAACACCAAGGTCATTCACCCCATTTTTGTACCCGACTTTTCTCGGTCATTACAGTACATTAGATGTATCATTATGACTATATAGACTGTGGGGGTCGTCTCGATAAAATTTACTGATACCTGGAACCCATGAAGGAGTGATTGGTAGTGCAAAAGACTCGCTTGAAGTTCATGAAGCTTGCGCGTAAGCGAGATATTATCCGCTTGCAGTACTTGTGACTCCTAGATGTGCTTGAGCGACATCGCTTCCACAATGCACAAGAACTACATACCAGCTGGCTAACATGGTGATACAGCAGCTCAAAGGACTCATCCCATGCATATAGCGCATACCATAACATCGCGAGCAAGAGAAACGTCGGGTCTTTGGACCTGCTGAATATTTTTTGCCAGTACACACTTTCCCCCACAAGCTTCATGAGGGAGTGGAAGTGCTTCGCGGATGTCCGGTACGATATAGACTCGGGATGATAGGAGATGATAGTGTTTTCTTTTATGTTGCGGACCATGTGGATTGCGAGGAGGTCGATTAAGAGCATGCGACCATCTGGGAGGAATGTTTGAGCGTGAATGTAAGGACATCAATACACATACCACCCATCGAAACAGGAGCTTGGATATCGATCGGGGTATCTGTTGGAAGTGAGTCGGATGTCTATGCAAGGTGATGGCCTGGCTCACTGGCTTCGGAGTCCCACGAGTCAGTTCGTGGTTGTTGCGAGTCCTGTGCTTTACCAATTGTTCGTATGAACGGGAGGGTAATAGTAATATCTGTCATAGCCATGAACCATGCGACCAAAAATGAAGGTTTAGACGTACGATCTCCTTCTCCATGACGAGGTGCTTCCTGGTATCGTGAGGGTATCCAATTGATGGAGGACGTGAAAAAGAATGGTTCGATATTGTATCTATGTATGGGCCTCAGAGCAAGTAGACGAATAAAAGACGTCAATACCTTGTCCCCAGCATGCGCAAGACCTGTGGCGTCAAGTCATCCACAAATAATGATCGCACTCGGATGTTTTCTGGTCGCTACAAATCCGATCTTAATCAACAAGCATACCGTGGTTCACATGAGACTCACTCCCGACTTCAATATATCCCAAAACACACCCGGATCCTGAGGCGACACTACCGTAGTATCACCGCGACCGCTTCCTCCCATATCTGGGGTGGTAAACTTCCCATCCGATTCACGGACATCCATCCAGTAAATGATGCTAGGCGTATTATCCGAACACTTTTCAAACATCTTACTTCGCTTTACTTGATCTGGAGTCCAGTTCCCGAACTGGTTTTGAGGGTAGCCCGGCCAGGATTCCGACTCGCCCGAGTCATTAACACCATGAGTCGCATCGGACTCAATCGCGGCTCGAAAAACAACTTGCAGGTTCATCCATGGCCATGGTCCCGACGGTGCCGCATGTCGGTATCTGGGAAGAGTATCAATCAGCAAAAACAAGGAAACAAGGAGGACAATGAACAGAACTTACGTGGGGTCGGGCACTCCATGTAGTGGATTTGCCCCGATGTCTTGAGGAGCAGGTTTGTCCCTCAAATTCAGTAAGTTGGAGCATTTTTTCCTAGCTGACATGATGGCTGATTTTGAGTGAGTTCATGCCCTGCATGAGTGCTGAATTTATATGTTCGCGGTGTCATGTCAGCACCCCACAAGCACCCGATGCTGAATTTGGCCCATTGCATAGCATGCTGTGGTGCTGATAAATGACATACTTGAGCTTGTCCTATTCGCCGTGCGATCAACTAGCATCCAACAGATGAGCGCTCAGCGGCTAAATCATTCCCACAAGAAGCACTCCGGATTCAGGATCGTCTGCAATAAATCCTTTTACCTGCACTCCTGTCTTCATCCACTGGGAAGGGCCTCAGATATGAATGCCTCCACGCTCCGCGGTTCCCAAACCCTGTGATACATGAGATATGTAAGCGCCAAGTAGGGACCCAGCGCAGCAGGAGCTCTGGAGCGTGGTTGTGGTGTGGTGTTCCTTCTGAGCGTGTCAGAACTAGTAGTATCGCTTGAATAAGTAGTACTCAGTAAAAACCGGCTGCGAGATTTCATGGGCGCCCCTCTGATAACGAGCACTGAGATACTTTGAAGTAGCATTTGCCCCAAGACCAAAAACAGAGAGAAATCGAAGGTATGCAACAATGCATCTTGGTCCTAGTGGAAAATGGAATCAATCACGGCCCTGCAGTAAGCGTCAGAAAAGGTCATACGTGAGTTCAAACTTTATCGTGATACTTGAACCATTAATGGAGACTTTGCCGCCAAGGCGCCAACCCGATGTTTTAAATGCCGTTACAATGAAACCCTCGCACTTGGACGGCGCAAACTATATCAGAAAGAACGACTGTCTTCCGCATCTATAGAGGGTCTGGCTAGGCCCATGTCGCAGCGGTACCAAAATGAGAATGTTCGAGCGCTGGCCGCCGAGGTGATCAATCCTATGTCACACTACCACAGATCTATCGTCAGCACATTCTTAGAAATAAGAGGCGCCAAAACTTCAAAAGCCGCAGGAACGAAATCCACAACAACACCAATCCAAGGGGAGGGGTGGGGAGGAACGGTTGCCAGTAAGCACTACAATGTTAGCGAACTTCAGTTTCAAACATTCCGGATCAAGGTCATTGATGGGCTACCTTGCAGGTGAGATCCAATGGTGTGACGATTTAGGTAGCACCACGTACCTGGCAGCGAAGCATTTCGAAGTGGGTGGAAAACGTTGAGAACATGATTTTATTCACGATCCGGCGCTAGGTGACACACTGACACTGAGACCCTGCAGTGCAAGCGCTCATTTACTTGATGGACTGAAGGGCACATCTAACATGCGGCCTTCTCCTCAATGCTGCGCCAAGTTCACGCGTCTGCATCATGGTGTTATGATATCTCACCATTGGGAGCGGTTATGAAACTTCTACCGGCGTCCACGGATTCATTTGCCCATACCGCAGGGAAGGAGACGGGCAAGAAAATATCTTCTTTTCAGCGACTTCCCAGCTCCTATCTTCGCCTCAGACTTCTCTGAGTCCTACCCTAGTATAAAGGCGAGCTTGGTGCCGTTGGTTTCGGGGACGTTGGTTGCATTTGTCCGTGCCTTCTTCGCACTCGATGAGTGGAGAATGAATTGAGGAGCGGAATTTTCATCCGATGGCAACGACCTTTTGAGTGGGGTGGGTGTCTGTGTTGCGGCAACACGTGAAGGGGAAGGGAAGTGGTAGGGATTGGCTGGTGCAGACCTAGGATATGATTCAGGTGTAGACATTACTAGAAATTGAAGTGAACTAACCTGTTGGTTGATGCGAGCACTCTTCGTAAGTGGAGTGGTACAGCTGGCCATGATAAAACAGACCTCACTGCAGATTCAACGATAAATATTAATGTAATCTTGAGACGCACGCTGAAAGGCAATTTGCAATATAATCAGTCTCCGCTCTGCCGAACAATCCGGCAAGTTTTTTTCCATACCAAGTAAGGCAAGCAGACCATAATCAAGAAGAAACGACTCGGACTGTCTTCTATGGAAAGCCAGACCACCGTGCTCGAGTTTGATGGCTTCTTCTTCTCAGAACCTTCCTATTGAGGTAAGTGCTTCTATTGACCTCCGAACACCCCCATTGGAAAAATATATCGAACTGTGATCCCATCATTGCAAGAGTAAAGTTATGTGAATACAAGACATTGCAGAAATCCGACCACCATGTTACTAGCTACGCAGAGTCCTTAGTTTCAACTGTTTCATCTCGACTCGGATACTTCTCCAAACCAGCCCATTCACAGTAGTCGTTGCAGGTATGCTGCGCCTCAAACATTGTCACTACAACTTCTATGTTGCCGTCACCAAAAATATCCAGCCCTCCGCTAACAGAGCTGACCATCATACATTAGTGACAGCCGAAGTGGAAAGAACTTAAGAATATACATACGGGTCCGTCAATATTTGAGGGTCAGTCAGTAATCCAGTGCTTCCTGACAGAAATTGATTAATGTGAGCCTGGGCTTGTCATCAGTCAGATAGTAAGAACTAGTACATACCTTGGTAGTCAGAGATAAATGCTAAACCACCGGTCTTCACATATTGAACGTGTTGAGTGAACGAGAAGAATACTGCTAAATCATAGCCATAATCAAGTTCCTCGAGCAAAGGATTAGCATCCGTGTTATGGATGAACTTGATAAATGCATCGTCGCCGCCACTAATGAGTTCTTCCAGGAGATAACCTACACGAATAGGGCATGTCTTCGAGCCTGGCTTGGAAGCCACTGCTGGGCCTTGGACAAACGCCAATGCAAGGCCAGCCTCGACAAAGCGTACTCGGGGAATTGGGAATGGTGGAGGACAATAGGAGGCGAGGCGACAATCAATGAAATCGTAGGTGAGTTGCAAAAGAGAACTCGCCCAGTACAGCACATTTGCTTCTCTGAAGAGCTTAGGCAATTCGTCTGCCACAGGAAATCTACCGATCTTGAAAGGTCCAGTGGATACACCCTGTGGGTACACTGGGTGAAAGGGCCGTTTAGCCACAATCTCGTGACGGGCAGCTGAACCAAACCCAGAAACCGGAGGGGGAGTAAGTGTGAGCCATCCTGGGTGGGCCGTCTTGAACCCACCCATCCCAATCATGCCATCGTGCGATACATCGACTGTCAATTGGCCTACCCAGGATTCTGCGGCGTCCAGTGTAAACGAGCGGTAATCTTCGTTTCGTAAGATCTCTGTTAGAGGGCGTTTAGGAATAGGGTAGAAATGGATGGTCTCGTTCTGTTTTTCGAATACTACACAAGCCATTAGTCCACAACTCAGAGCAAGATATTAGCTACTCCTCTTACCTTTCTTTACATTGAGATTTGCTATGCCCCCAGATCTGAGGGCCGCTTTCAGGTTGTCACGGTCAGGTGAGCAGAGCACAACATCTGTGGGGGCAATCTTCTTGTGTGGAGGAGACGGAGGCAAAGCCCTACTACTGCTCTCTGTTCGCACATGAGTCCACTTAGATGTGGCTGGTACTGCCATGTGAGTCTGAGTTGCCAGCGTGGATTTCGTCTGGGGTGCGGATTGAGTTGCCAGCGTGGATTTCATCTGGGGTGCGGATTGTGAATATAAGCCTGAGTCGTCATTCCCGAAGCCCGTCAATGTCCGAGGTGCAGATTGCGAATACAAGCCTGAGTCATCATTCCCAAGGCCCGTCGGTGTAGTGGTGTGCTGCGCTGATTGAATGAGCACACGACTAGTAGTTGCCTAGAAAATTCGGTTAGTCGTGCTCCGGAGTAAGTGACCAGGCTAGATTTTACCTGGTATGCTGTGGATTGCAAAAATTCATCGTCCTCAACTGCAGCGCTTTGAACTACGAGGGTTCTACCACCCTAAAACAATGACAACAGTAAGTCTCAAGCAACGATGAGGAAAACATTAGTAGGCTTACATTCTCTGCAAGTTGTTCCGCCCAGTTTTCGTATTCTAGCCACCGTGCTTGAGGTGCAACTACCATTAACGCAAACTGTTTCGTCTTGAATACCATTGTCTTTGAATCTTTGCGACCTGCTTGCAAGCATTGCGAGAGGAAATATGGTTCTCCAGCTGGGTGCTTTGAGAGATCTACCCATTTCGCATCCCTGACAACAAACTCGTCATCGCGCCAATCAAACCCAGAGCAAAAGGCTGCGATCTTTGGCAGGATGGTATCGAGAGCGATCATTATAAGTCCAGGTGCATCAATACGAGCATCAATATCTTTCATGCCCTCGCAAATATTCTAGAATGCGTGTCATGCCAATGAATAACTAAATTGAATTTAAAACAATAAAACACCTACTCCAATAGTAACACCACGACTACCCTTCCGACGGGTGCTGCCCTCGTGTACAGCAGAAATCTCCAGAGAAATGGTCTATGCTGGTGGTGCAGGAAATGAGAGCTTGGCCGAGAGCTTGGCCCAGCGCTCGCGTTCTGATCCATAGCTAGCATGGTGCTTAGAATAACCAGAGGCCAGGTTGCCCATAGGACCAGCGGGTTGGGCCTGAAATGGGCGCTGCCACGTTGATGGAACATTGATATTGGGACCTGGCATAGGGATAGCCTGAGGGCGTGCAATGTGAGCCATGGCCACAACAGGTGGCGGGTTAATTGTTGCTAAATTATTGTCAGCACGTCAAATAACATAAGGTTTCCTTACTCACACTTTCTCTGCGCGGCGTTCACAGACTGCCGGATAATGTGTGGATCCGGCAATTCACGCTGGTCGTTCACAGACTGCCGGATAATGCGTGGATCCGGCAATTCACGCTGGTTGTACAGGTTCGGATCCCTGGGCCCTGCAAGACATCAGAATCATCAGTGTGAAATCTGTAGAAGTGGTAGTAGATAACTTACTCGTAGTAGGTCTCACTGTTGTAGCTAACTTCCCTTGATATCGTCTGTGACAAGAACCACAGACATAACGGCCTGGTCTCCCAGGGTCCATAGTGCCCACGTAAAAACAAGGGTCACCCCTGAAAATCTTGACACCGCAGGCAGGACGTTCACATAATCGATCATCCTTAGCGAATGCATCTTCAGTGTACTGAGATACCAATTCATACCCAGACATTGTGAAATTTCGAGAGGAGGTGGTGTGTGGTGTGTCGATGCTAAAGACTCATACTAACATCATCTCATTAAATACACAAACTTGTTTTGCAGAGTATTGTGGTAGGAACGTCAAGCTGCAACTCTGAGTTGACGCATATACTACATTTCTAAGATAGGGGGATGTTATCTCAACTGGTCGTTGACTTTTCTGGAAGACCGGCATCATGTTCAACTATTTGTTTGATCCGAGGCTACTAGCTGTGCGCACAGCTCTGAGCTAAAGGAGTTACTGATATCCGAATTACATATAGTGGAGTTGCAATATCCGAATTACATAGAGTGGAGTTGCATCTCTCACCGGGGCGTTTGTGTGGTTAGTAGAGTTGCATCCCTCACTGGGGTGTTTGTGTGGTGAGTTGTGACCTCCTTAACTCCAAGCTCAACGAAGTTGAACAGATGTAGAATGTCCACGTCTGTTGCTGGAGGGGAGATAGAGAATCCAGGAGAACCATGTTTATCCTCGGCTACTGACCATCAGAAGTGGCTGCGGCCACGTAAATTTCTGCTCTTCATCCTCGGTTGCCCTGGAACTGAAAGCTTTAAGTATTTTGTGTTTCACCTACTACTACTAGTAGCTGGTTGACCATGCCCAACCAATACAAACCAACTCGTGCGTATTTTATCACAGTTTCCAATTTTGTTGTTGAGAATCAATTCTACTAGCGCCTCTCGACGAGATTGCGCCCCATATACTTCGGTTATGGAAGGCGCGTCTGACAGACAAGCAGATCGTGGATGGCTTACAGAAACATATTGACACTGAACATTTTGGACTAGGGTAAGTACAACCACGCCCATCACTCTAAGTCAGGACACTTATGCATACTGGCTCAAGCCTTACAAAATTTGTGCAGATTCGTGTTGGAATGGGGCTTCAACGAACTCGCCAACAAGGGCATAGCATTGAATCCATTCGCGAAGCTATGCTTGAACTACGTCCGATATATCCCAATGCTGGGGCGCGGGACATAATCAGTCTACTGTTCCATGAAAAAGGCATGTGCGTAGCCAGGTATGTTTCTTCTGCCAGATCTTCAAATCATTTCCGACTCTGATATACATCCTCCGCAGGACTGTAGTACGAGCATACTTTGCTACTTACGAGCCCGAACTTGTCCGGGAACGGAAAGCACGACGTCTGAAAAGGAAACGTTTTTGGGCTGCGGGGGTCAATGATTTATTTGCTGTAGATCAGCATGATAAGTGGCTAAGATTCGGCCTTGGTCTTCATACTGGGATTGAACCTTTTTCGGGGCGCATTATGTGGATTCGTGTGTGGCATTCCAACAGGAACCCGCAGCTGATTCTCAGCTACTACTTGGATACAATTCAGAATCTTGGTCGTAAGTAGTTCTATGATTGCGATTGATACCTATCCTTGCTCACAATTCATGGTCTTTCTATTTAAGACATGCCTATGGTGACTCAAAGCGACCCTGGTACGGAGAACTATGGCATCGCAAATGCCCACACGATGCTACGGCAATGGCACGATCCCGCGCTCCAAGGCACACTCCAGCATCGTTGGATGCGGTCAAATAAGAACGTGATGCCTGAGATTACGTGGTCGCAGTTGCGCCGCCGCTTCACTCCCGGCTTTGAATCAATATTGGAACAGGGAGTTAATGAAGGTTGGTATGACAGCAACAATACTCTACAAGTGTGAGTTACTTTTCGCAATTCTACCTATATCTCAACAACTAATCATCACCACTTCAGAATGGTATTCCGTTGGGTTTTTGTTCCGTGGTTGCAACGCGAGCTCGATGCATACCAGGATCGCATTAACAACACATCAAAGCGGCGTGATCGCAATAAGGTGTGCCAATGTACTAGACCGCAAGCTCATTTCTGATTCTCACTGTCAGGTACTTCCGCACGGTGTTCCTAATCTCATCTATGAGTCGCCTGAAGATTTTGGGGCTCTGGACTTCAAAGTACGTCATACTAATGTGTCCTTCACTGAGTTTTAGACACATTTTTTGTAATTTTCAGATCACTGTAGAACAAGACGCTATTGATCGTGTTCGAGCACTGTATATCAAACCCGGCCACCCCGTCTTCGACCTTGTGCCTCCCAATCTGGGTGATTACATTCAGCTTTGCTATGAACGAATGGGCCATCCCATTGTCAACCGTGGCTCGGTGTGGCCTGTGTATCGTGATTTGCTCCATATGCTCCAGCATGGCGCCGACAATCCCACACTACTCGAAATCTCTGGTGACGACGACGAGGAATCAGAAGAATTGCCCCTTCTCGATAACTACCAAGACCTGCCATTTAACGAGGACGGTTACTACATGGGGGGCGTTGGTGGTGGCATCAGGAAAAAGGGAAAAAGTCTTAGCCATCTTACCTCACTTACAGAGACTTAATTCGACGTTAAGTTCACTAAGTTGTCAAAGCAAATCATTTCAACTTAATTTCTGCTTGGAGGATTGTTCACAAAGGAAACACAATAATAGTAAGTAATGAATGGCCAAAATTCAGCACGGAGGCTGCAGAAAAGCGTGTTCAAGTAATAAGTTTATTTATAAGTAATCAACACCATGCTGCGATGTAACTAAGTCAATAGGCGCTATGCGAAGTACTTCCTAAGCCGACAAAGTATATAATATGTAGTCCTAATGGTAGCATTATCCAGCCAATAAGAATAAGTCAGTATCAAGTCACCAGGCAATCTCAAATGCCTGATGGTCAATGTATTTATTTACATAGTAAGTGCGGAAAGCATCAAGGGTCTGTGTGTAAGAGAGATAAGTAGGTACAAATTCATGCCCAAATACAGGCATAAGGTGTGCCGCACGAAAAATGCAGTCAAGGTGAATGACGGAGGCAAATCGTGTCCCATCCTCGCGGGTTTCAGGCTCTACTACCCACATTCCTGTGTTCTCATCTGGTGAGTCGTGCACGTGTTTGAACCAATGCACAAATGCACAAGGGTAATGTACACCATTGTGTTTAAATGAAAAGAAAAGCCTTACTTGAGCGATATCGAAGCCACGCATACCCTCGACAGTGGGATCAGTACTAATGAAAACACAGTCATATCGACCAGGGCCGTTCCTCCAGGTATCCACAGCACGAATTCGCTCGTAGCGCATACCGCCGATGCCTGAGACATCACTGGGAGCGAAGAAGGTGGCAATGGCAGATGTATACAGAGTTATTTTTTCATGTAGTTCGGGAAGGGCACTGGACGAGCCAGCGCCAGACTCGGAGGCTTCTGAGTTGGAGTCAGAACAATGGAGCTGGTCATGTAAAAATCGCTGAATGTGAGTGGTGAGTTCCGGTTCACCAATTTGATCTGCGAGTAGGTCTGCGTAGATCCGTTTTGCTAAAAATTTGTTGTAAGTAAAAAGCACGCCAGGTAAATGTACTACTCCACTCACCAGATTTCTTCGCCAAGTCTACATGAGCTATCACCGTCGGTCCAGCAACAGCGTCACCCTCGAGCTCAGCATCTTGGTCTGCATCAGCCTCCAAGTTGGCATTCACGTGATTGTTGCGTCCGAGATGGGGAATGTCAATCGGCTCATCCTCGAGCCGGACTTGAATGGCTTCTGCATTGTGCACTGGAGCGTTTAGCCCTGTGTGTGATTTGTGTTAGTAATATTAGTGGTCAAATGCTAGTAGACGTACCGAGTTTATCAAGGATATATGATAGACATGTTCCTGTTAGCATCCCACGGCTAGCAAAGTCAACACGAGACGCCGCTAACTTATCTAGACGTTGATTTGTCAGTAACATCTGATTGAGGGCTTCGAACCGACTGGACCATCGCCACGGCTCCTTGACAGCCTTGATATGTTTAGATTCTGTGATGGAAGAACAGAGTCCGTTTGGTGCGCCAAACGATCGGATCATTTTGTGGTAGTGGATAAGCGAGTGTTGTCGAGGGAGGTTGAATCCATTAGGGCGAACACCGGATGTTTCAAATATTTCGCGGTGCCTGTGGAAACGCTCGAGTGCATCATCCAACGCATTGAGGCTGTTGGAGTCGATGATATTGCGCTGCGCGATGTACACAAAATCAATTAATGCTTGCAAAGTCAGCACCATCTCCGGAGGTACGTGGCCTTCAATCGCGGGTATATACACCTATAGTAGTAAGAATACACGTTAGTCAACACTACTCGTGATGATGGAACACCCGTTCATCGACTCGAACGTACCTTCATAAGTGCTTTGGAATCATCTCCCGTCCACTGTTTGAAGCCCCTTCCCTCCGGGAATCGTCGAAGGCCCGCAAATGAGGGAGCAAGAGCAATACTAGTTGTAGAGTGCGTCAATACCAGTCATTGCAACCCAGCATGTTGAAAATTGGACTTACCGGTGATCAATATCATCTAATATTATATTCGCCTCGTTTTCCGAGTACCGAGCCTTAATGTATTTGTGGACCCAGGTGACGATATGGTCCTTGAACGCACCCTTTATCAGCTGATGTAAAATGTCGGGGGAGAGGAGTTCGTGAATGTCGGCTCGCGGGAAATAGTTAGTGAATGGCTGTAGAACACATAGTATATTGTAATTTGTCAGCTCGCACAATGACTACAATAATGAAGGTACAAACCACGATGTCTCCTACAAGTCCATATTCGTCCCATAGCACACCTAACTCGAATTCCTCCACCAAGACTTCGGTATGGTTGCGGGAACGCCGACCATAGGTACCATTGTCAAGACCATCAGCCGGAGCAGTACATCTGGATGGATGTGTAGTAAGTAGACAGTACTAGCATAACATGAAGAAATACATACTTTGGGCACCAGTTTTGAACGATGCAAGCGAGCAATGCTTGCTCGGGATAATCGGCAATATATGGTCCAAGGCCATACACCGCACGTCGAAAATGACCATCGGGGGAGCGTACAACCTCGGGTGTTGTCATACCTGGTTTGAGGGATTCCAGCATCTTCGCCAGCGATGAGTGGAGAAGCTGACGGCGGAATTTTCGAAAGTGTGCGTCTTTGGCGGACTCCTTGTCAGCTAAATATATGCATCTAATTAGCGCCAGCAACAGACAACATCAAATTGAAACACGTACTTGTCGGGATGGCTAGGAAGCCCAGCAATACAACACCGTTGCGGTGTGCACGTCGCACGTTGTTGCGGATGTTGCCGATCGACATATAAACCGGCCAGTACTGGTTGTGTCCAGTAGCGACGGAGACAGTAGTCTTGTCGCTGCCAAGGATTATTGGAACGAACATAGATCCAATTGTATTGGGATCCTCGGCAATCAAATCCTGTGAATTGTGAGAGATGAGAAAATTGGAAAAAGGATGAAAAATGGCTTACGGCCTGCTTCCAACACCAATCACCGGACATAAAGTCCTGAAAGCGATGTGCTCCGTTGCTGGTATCATACTCCTGTAGCGGAGCGTAGTCGAATTCGCCTTCGAAGTCTGGGTTGGAGAGAATGTTGTGCACGAGGATCCGAGGATCTCGGAACCACACATCATACTCGGATGTCATCCATGTCGGAATGTCACCTTCAGGTAGAGCACCATTATATTCAGAGCTAAAACTCTGCCAGGCGACGTCACCTAGAGGCGTCGAATCAATGACGTTGTACATCTCAACGTGGTTTGTGAAGGGCGGTGTTTCGCCATGAGCCGCTAATGAGGCGGCCCACAGGTTGAATATAAAGTCAATATCGCCCCCCGACATCTGGTTGCGACGGTAGAGGAAGTCTGCGACTTCGAATTCGACTCGATTAGCATATGGTGTCCAGTTGTCTGGTCCACGATTTGATGGACGCGGAGGTGGCGGAGTATTCGGTGGTATGTCATCTCCGTGTTCGTCGCAAATTCTCCCTTCATATGGAGAAGAGTATACAGTGAGCACAAGTTTGGATGAGCGTCAAGTGAAATTAACACGCACCATTGATATTAGGATGATATGTTCTGGTAACACCAGGAACTTGAAGAGGAACACTACCATCTCGACTCGCCTGGCCAATGGAACCAGCACCACTTGAAGGGCGTTGATCTGAGCTGTTCATACCTGCCTCATTGGCAGCATCATCATGAAAGCCATACCCACGTCCATTTGACTCTGGCAAGTCAAACTCCATTTGATCGTCGCGACTCCCAGGTGCTTCAAGTTGTTCGTCACCTGCGCTAGTCTGAGTTGGGCTGCGTGAATGCATGCGTGCTGAGCTTGTTGCAGCATGTCCGGTGCCAGGTCGGGATGACTGGGAACGTCGTGAACTCGACTCGGAGGAGGAATGGTGTGATGACGGGACGTCGGGTTCTTCAGATGCCAGTGGATGCTGGGATTGCATATGAGTGGTGCGCCCTGACCTGTTGTAAAAACGGCGGATACAGCCCGTCACTAGGCATGGTAGCGTGGGTTGAGGGCGGCCAAGGTTGTGTATATTGTGCGCACGAAGGTTGCCATTGGCCCGCATCATAAGATAGTGCCGATGGTATTGTAGACTCGAATGGGGCCCATGAGTCTGGCGTTGGAGGTGTAACTTCAAGTTGACTTTATACAAGGCCTGGTAAATGTGCAGGAGAACATCATGCATGCGAGTACTTACAAGTAGCCAATGGTAACATGATCTGCCCAGGGTTGATGCAAGGTGCGCCCATGAATAACTTCCAGCCACACAACACGATGTGTTCAGGGTTGATGCAAGGCGCGCCCATGAATAACTTCCAGCCACCACCGAGAGCATGATGGAATGCGTTTGACATGCGAAGACGATCACCTATCTTGATGAGAGGAAGGCCAAGAGCATGACAGAATGCGTTTGACATGTGAAGGCCACAGACATGAGACTCCCCCCCCCCCCTCTCAAGTCTAAACACACACAAGGTGCACCTGATCCTTCCAATCTTCTGAAGCAGGGAGTTGCGGCACACATAGCATCTATAACACAGCAGTCAGCACACCGCAGTTACCAACCGGACATTAAACGGAAACCTCACCATTCAAGTTAAGCATATCACAATTGTCCACCTTGATGAGAGGAAGGCCAAGAGCATGACGGAATGCGTTTGACATGCGAAGGCCACAGAAGTGAGACTCCCCCCCCCTCAAGTCTAAACACACACAAGGTGCGCCTGATCCTTCCAATCTTCTGAGGCAGCGAGTCACGGCAAACATAGTAGCATCTATAATACAGCAGTCAGCGCACCACAGTTTACTAGGAGCTAGAGGAAACATTACTGGTACTAGGATGTTGGTCACCAATGAAGATTTGAATTGTTGGTATCGATGTTGATAGTCGGTGATTGTCGTCTCCTTCAAGCCCTGGCAAGTTCGGAAAGAATTCGACATCGATAAGTAGAAATATATGGTCGAAGGCGTGGAGATATGAAGGAATGGAACTCGGGCACTCAGGCCGAAGAGCGTGCTGTTGAGGCGTGGCAAATTAGCAAGTCAAATTACATTGAAGTCCCGATTCGAACATCTTACTTGTAAACGCGTCTTCTTGATAAAGCCTTTGCGTCCTGCAAGCTCGCCCCCATCTACTCCTGCTATGTCTACTCGACGTGTCACCTGTGCAAAAAATGCAACTCAGCATCCGGGTATCCCAGACATAACCCCGAAGAAGAAACGCCGTACTGCAGAAGAAGTAGCTGCTGAGCGTCAGTCTAAGTTAGATGCTAAAGAAGAGAAAGAACGCACCAAGAGAGCTAGCATCAAATGTGTTGCTAAATATGAGAAGAACCAGGCGGACCAGGATGTGGTGACCGATGCTACACCGCGGGCTGCGCTGCCCAAGCCAAAGCCAATCCCAAGCAAGAGGAAGGCTGTTGTGGCGCCTCCTGCTACCAAGAAGAAGGTTACGCCTCCTTCAGATGCCGAGATGAGTGATGCACGAGCTGCACCTTCGGTACCAAGGCCAAGGCCAAAGCCAATTCCTCGCAAGCAGAAGGTAATTGTACAGACTCCCGCTGCGGAGGACAACGGGTTTCTGTCGGATGCTGAGATGGATGATGCGGCTGCTGATAGCAGCGCCTTCAACCCCGATCCAACCCAACATTCAGGCACGGTGACCTCGGACATGTACTTCTCGTATGATTCTCGTTTTGATTGATGTCATGCACTGCAGACACCTGCTTGGGCCGATGATTCCGACGATGTGGAGGAACTCAAGGCTGCGCCAGATGACCATGATGATCCAAAGTCTCCGAACGACAACAACTTCATGGTACTAGACAACAACAACAACAACAACAACAACAACAACAACGGCCGTTATGGTCATTCTGAGGAGCCCAAACTTGTACGGCGCGCAAATGCTGGAAAATTAAAGCTCATGGACCAAGATAGCAAGACCCATCATGTCATTCAGCGAGCGATACTGGAAGCGAAGGTTCATATGACCTTCGTCAATGGCTATCCAGACATTACAAAGAAAAATTGATTCACGCGAGATGCACTCTTAACTGCAGCTCGCACCTGCGGCGTCACACCCATCTATGATCGCATCAAGACTAACAACTCGTATGCATCTGCACTTGCAACGCTGGTAAGTCATAACTTTGCAAGGGGTGCTCCTACAACATTATATGCAGGTTGATGCTCGAGTGCCGCTTTTTCGCACTGAATTGAAAGATGACGCTTGCGCACAAGTCACAGCATATTACCGTCTTCGTCCTGATTGTGTTGATACTACTAAGGCTTTGCTTGCGAACCATGTCTACCATTATGCGCAACATTTCGATGTAAGTTCTTATATTCTATTTGTATATGAATTTCTCAACATCACGCGCTCCGAGTACAGGACACAAATGACCCCATTCCACAGCCGACAAAACCTTACTCTGCAGACATCTTGCCTTATCTGATGAAGGGACGCTACTTCAATGGGTCGAAATCAGTTGGTGTGAAATTCGCGAACCATTTCAAGGAGATTGCGGGAAACAAGGCCCAGCGGCCTGAGGTAATGATTCCAATGGTTGCTTTGACCAGCACTTCAGTATATTTTATGTCCTTGATCTACTCTCAGTCTATGTATTAACAAGTGTGTACTAGGTGTATGCCGCGCTCTTGTGGAAGTCCAGCAAATCTCCCTCCAAGTTCAATTTTACTGGCAACCAGTTCAGTGAGGTCTACATTTTCCATGTCAACTTTCTCAACGAAATGGAGGAGAATGCGCCGAGCAAGTTCCACAAGCTGATGGCCGACATTTTCGAGGCTGTCCAGTAAGTTCATTATGCTCTGAATGTGCGATATTAACTAATTCATCTCAAAAGGAAACTCTGCTCTAATGGCGCCACTGCCATAGCATCACACAAAGATGCAATGGCTTTCCTCGACCTCGATGGCATGGACGACGATGATGACAAGTAGTTTTGGGTCTCTTAGTCATGGTCTCGCATTGATTTCCTATTCGTTTATTGGTATCGCTATAAATACGCTCATTTCTCGTTTATTGGTTGCTATAATTACGCACTACCTATGTTTGTGTGCCCTCATTTAATCAAACTCTAATTTGTTCCTGTAAACAGCTTGAATTCATATGTCAATGTTTGAACTGATAGTCAAGCATTCTTGGTTGTAAGTTTGCCTGAAGTTGACCATAATTATCACTAATTTAGCATGCATATAGAATCCCTCATGGGGCAGTAAAAAAGTCTCTCTAAACCACTAAGTTGTCTATTTTATTGAAATTATCATAAATTTGACATATTTAGTCTAAATTTGTAGTACTTAGTCTAAATTTGCAGCGGAGGTTTTTCCTGATGTACCGCCGTGTTCCGACATTCGGGAGAGGAACAATCCAGCACTTCCACAGGAACACATCTGCAATGAAATGTCTCGCAGCACGAGACTTTGAAGATCTATTGCAGGTGAGTAATCTTTGCGAACTTCTTTTAATACTTATTGATTTCAAATTTCATTTCAGTGCGCCATCCCAGTGTTTGAGGGTCTATTGTTAGATCTGGACAATGATCGTATAATCCTGGACCTCCTATTTGACCTCGCCACATGGCAAGCTTACGCCAAGCTCCATCTGCACACTGAGGACACGCTAGATGTTTTCGACTCAGCAACAGTCGTTCTCGGCAAGTCTGTGTGCAAGTTTCTACAGACAACATGTGAAACTTACATCACAACGGAGTTACCTCAAGAACACGCCGCTCGGGGGCGTCGGCTGGCTGCTTTGGCTGCTAAGCAGGGTGCATCAAAGGGAAGCACACTGCGCCCAAAGGTAAAAAAAATTGAATATCATTACTTATAAATTCCACACCCTTGGCGATTACCCTAACACAATCAGGATCAGGGGGACCACAGATAATTATACCACCCAGCCGGTGAGTTAATTAATTTCATCATTGATCATGTATTTAATTTTATTATAGGGTGAACTAGAACATCGACGTCTTAAAAGACGCTACCCACGCACATCTAAAATGAAAGCTACAATGACTGCAAGCATTGTGAATCAAGACGCGATTGAACGTCTATGTACAAAGGTCATCAATGCTCGCGCATAGTTTGCTGCCCAGCAGGGCAATAATTTATGTCGGCGGGTGCAGACATCACCATCAGAACATTACCACATCGCGAAATCTGCTCGTACGACTTACGATCTCTCGGCATGGTTAGGTGATCTCCATGATGATCCGGCAGTCAAGGTGTGTGTGTTTTTTTCGTGTGTATCTAATACAGTTGTATAGAATTTTCTTCCCCGCCTCAAAGACCACTTATACGCACGTGTTCAAGGTCTTGCATATGAAGGCGATGAGAACGACTTCACTGATGCTGAGCAGAACTCCATTCTGATCACGGTGTGGGAGAAATCGTAGAAGTCCGCTATAGTGATAGTGTACCGATCCTGCTGGGTGCAAGAATAGTAGTCGACCCAAGGGGATAGCTCTGAGAGCAGTTCCTCAAGTATGAGCGAGGGGAACAGTGAAGAAGGAAGTGATGCGCTGAAGACAGAACAGCTAGGTATGTGAGGAGATGCGATAATGCACGGAGATGCGAGGTATGTGGAGATGCGAGGTATGCAGATGCGGAGATACAAGGTATGCAGATGCGGAGATGCGAGGTATGCGGATGCGGAGAAACGAGTAAATGTCTAGAGGGTACCAGGTATGCGAACAGGTAGGGTACCAGGTATGCGAAACGGGTAGGGTACCAGGTATCAGAACAGGTAATCAGGTAGAGCAAACTAGGTACCAGGTATATGCGAAGACGTGCAGAAACCGCTTTGCAAAGGAACTCAACTAGGACTAGCAATAGTCAACTGTCAATGGCGATGCGAGCGTTCGCGCGGGATGAGAAGGCAAACAAGTGATTGCTCAAGCAAGGAATGACAAGGTAAGACTAAGCTAGTGACTCCGCAACACACAACCAGAGAGAGGGAATGTAGGAAAGTGCTGGATACGAGTCCGCAACGTAGTATATAACAGAGTCCGTAAGAAACCGGAACTGTATAAGCGAACACATATGTACGCGAAGTCGGAGGGAGATAATATGTAAGTAGCACTATGCGACCTCGTGCATGGGAACTGATATGTAACTGGCCCTGCGAACGGTTAGGAATGACTAACTAAGGATGAGAATGCACCAGTGAGGACGGATGGATGCAGACAGGACATGGACGGATAGTGCGTTGCAATGCAATGCAATGCAATGAGTGCGCGGATTCCGCAACGGCCTGTGGAAGGTATGCGTGACTTCGTCCAGTAAGGGGAAATGGTGCCGTACGGGGCTGCAGCCAGATCGTCTCCTACAACGGACAACAAATTATTCGAACATAGCATTGTTCGGATCAATTACACCACGTACGATCTCCGACGCGAGCAAGATTCCATTAACCCCCGCACTCGTGCTGACCTCATGGTGATGTCACACGAGGAAGATCAATCTCATCCTTACTGGTATGCCCGGCTGATCAAAATATTCCACGAAACCCCTGATTTAGTACGGTGCTGGCCGAAACAAATGGATTTTCTGTTCGTCCGATGGTTTAAGCGTGACACGAGTCCAGCTGGCTTCACTGCCAAGAGACTCCAGCGCCTCGAATTTTTCGAGGACGGACACCTGGACGCATATGGATTTCTTGATCCGAAGTGCATCATACGGGGCGTGCTGTGAGTGGAGGTCTTCTGGCTGTTACCTCTGCTTCGAGTATGGGTTTATCCAGTGTCGAGGACATTGTGAGGTCCGGGATCTTGCAGATGATTCACCATTAATTTTGACACGAAGGCGCCAGCTAACCGGGGCTCGTCAATGTCAGTACAAATGAATGAGGCAAGCTCTGATTACTGTGACATACCAAGCCCGTTATGGACTTTCCGGTTAAACTACTCCAAGTCGGAATGCTGCCATGGGTCACGAATTCTGCAAGAGAACACACAACCATTTGTTAGTATCCCCTGCATACGACACAATCCACGGATGCCTACTGACACTAGAAGAGCGGTTTGCGGTGGCAAGAAGCCAAAGAAAGGAAGCAGCCGAGAAGCAAGGGGAGGGCTACCAAACGAGGTCGAACTCGTGATCAGGTTGAAGGTGATGGTGACATTCAACGTTGAGACAGATAGAGTTTAAAAGTCCAGTTGCAAGACCGAAAAAAGACCGCAACCGGACCGAAACCGGACCGAAAAAGACCGGACCTCAGTTGCCAGTTGCCTCAGGTCCAGAAAAGTCCGGTTGCAGTTGCCTAACTTTTGCGAAAAATGAAAGACCGGTCCAAGACCGGTCTCAACCGGTCCATTGTGGGACCGGTTGCCTATATATGGGTAGTGCTCACTTAGGCGATTCTATCGGTGGTCTAATCTTCAAAATCGGTTGAGAGTTGGGAAAGTTACAAGCATTTTAAGAATGGCTCGTATAAATCTGTGGGGCGTGTTTTTACGCTTGTTGGCACTGAACCAGGGATTGATTTCCAAGCTTAAAAACCTTTACCAGTGTGTTCGTAGACATCAAAAATGGTATGGAACATCAAATTTAGATAACTCTTGATGATTTATCATGCTCCAAGACTAGCACAAAGATCAGACATGTTAGAACGGCAAGTCAAAATCACCGATTGGCTCATAACTTACCCAAACCTTGAGTGTTCGACAAGATACAAGTAGCTATAGTATTGCCTTGACTAGCAGCACATATTTCGTCAAGATACCTAACCCTTATAACAACTTTTATTTTTCAAAGACAAGCCTGATAACGATTTTTTGTCAAGCTTATATCTTGCTTATATCTTACCCTATTGACAAGATAAGACTAGCTATAGTATCGCCTTGACTAGCAGCACATATTCACATGCAGGGCGGAGTTTAGGAACCCTTTTTTATAATGCTCATATCTTGCTCAGATCTTAACCGTTTACTACAAAAATTAGACCGTTGGAATCGTGGGAAGGGGTACTACACTGCCACAGGACCGGTTGTGGTGGCAACCGGTCTAAAACCGGTTGCAGGACCGCAAAAGACCAAAAACATCGGTCTTTACGGGTCCAGTCCAGGTTCGCTGATATTGTGGGAATAAAAAGACTGGTCCTGGTCCGGTTGCCTCCAAATAAGGCAAAAGACCGGACTTAACCGGACTTTTAAACTCTAGAGACAGACCAGACCTTGATGTGGCGAATGGAGCACGGGGGGAGATCGTGGATGTGGTCTTGGACAATAGAGACAGCATACTGGGAGACAAGTGCCAGGGTGAAACTACAATTTCATCTAGCATATGTTCTTGTCAAGCTAGACCGCACAAAGGCAGCCAAACTCGAAATACTGGGGCAAGATGTGTTACCGATAACGCCAATGCAGAAAACACTGGACCGGCCAGACCTGCAGTCCTATGACAGCGTATATCCACTGTGGTAGTCTAGTGTGTTGTGCATGTGTACATGTTGCTCTTGTCTATGTGGACCCCGAACCCTAACCTGACCTCTGGCACTCTGTCCCGTGACTCTGCTCTATGCCTCTGCCTCCTAGTGATGCGGAGGTTCGGTTCTGAACCGCGGTTTGAACCGGACTTTTCATGAACCGGACCACGGTCCAGTTCAACGTTCAGCGTATAGGCTGAACTGAACCGATGGTCCGGTTCAGCGTTCGGCATTCCTTGGACGCATTGAATGCGTCCGAACGTGTTCGAACCTTTTTGAACGCTGATACCTAGTGACAAATAGAAAATATAGTTTGTTGATTTCACTTTCTTGTCATGTGACTTATTTACAAGCCGTTTTGTCCAAGTCGTTTATTCCAGGTTGACACCAACAACCCCACCGTTCAAACGCCTCGTCTTTATCAAGATGTTTTCTCTAACACACGAAATGCAGGCAAAATGCCAGGTCACACAATTTATATGTGACCCGCGTTCTGTCAGCGTCTCGTGTCAGCATACGTTCGTCGATACACCATGCCCAAAGCTCTTTCATGTATTTGAATCAACACTCACAGGCAGGGAATATGAGCAATGTAGGAGGTAAGTCAACTTCCTTTATCATCAAGCATCAGGAAAAAGGGAATTTTTCTTAACAACACTTATGGTGACTTGAAGGTGATTCTAAGTAAGATTCAGTAGAATTCTGCTAAGTACGTCATTGCTTAAAACAAGTAGGGTCTTCCGATGAATATGACTTATTGTTACACTTATCAGCGCTTGACATAAGTACACAGTTAAGCAATGACATCAAGTGTGACTCATCATGTCAGATTCTCTCAAAGACACATTGTAAGCTAAATCAAAATAAGCAGACCAGAAGTAGAGGGATTCAGCTCTAAGCAGCCACATAGGTCCAAGTATATATTTATATTTTGTCTTTAAGGCTCCCAAGGTTACAAAATCAACGGTAAGTGTAGAATTCAGACAATAAAGCGGTGAGAATCATGTGTATTCATACCATGCAAAAAACATCCAAGCATATCTTTCAAGTTAAGACTCCCAAGTTCTACACAGTTGATAGGTAAGTGAACAATTCAAGCACTCACAAAACTGTTCAAGTCGGATGTATACCATTAAGATCGTGATCAAGACAAAGCGGTCAGGAAAAGCATCAATTCAAGTGGTGACTAAGACAAAATGTGAATGAAGACGGCCAAGCGAAGGAAATAAGCGTGATCATAAGAACTGCCAGAGTTGAATCAGGTCAGTAAGTGAATACAGCGCTGGCAAGCAAACCACCGGCAGAATGACAAGAACAAATGTTACTACTCCACGTCAGAGCCATCCGAGTCTTCGGACCCAGACTCGGACTCCGAGATGTCCACGAGCTGGGCGCGTTCGTCGAAGTCTTCATCATCCACAGCGTCATCGACGGCTCTATCATTGCCAGAATGATGGCTCTTCTTGGAAAATTCCTTCGCAGAAGTGATGATGGCTTGGAACTTCTCCTCTCGGAGGCTTTTCACGATCGACTTCACATATGAGCGCGTGGAAGAACCCCAGGTGACGTCATTGAAGCCCGTTTGGCGATTGGAGACTTTGCCGGTTGAGTGATTGAGCGTCTTCGGCAAGGGTATAGATTTGCCCTTGGCAGCGAGAACCATTTCGATGGTTATGGTACGAGTAGTGATAAGCGTCAATGCTCGTTCAACCTAGTAGTAGCAATGAGTGATCAGCGAGGTAGTAGTCCATGTATCTTGCGAGCACCGTTGATAGCAGTGAAGTGGGCGCCAAATGTTTGCACCACGAAGGCACCTTGATAAAGGCCGCGGAACTTCTGTATTGCATGTTAGTACTAGTGGCACAGCGACAATAACAGAGGCAATGAATAGAGATAGTGAGAAGCACGTACATATTTATCATCACCGTTTGCCTTCTTGTACAAGAAGCGAAGCTTGTCCAGCGTGTAAGTAGCGAATTCGACACGATTATCATCGGAGTGCTTGAGTGTGTCCTGGGACTCGAGGTATGCGATGACGATTGCAATGGCTGCTGAGCCGATGAAGCTTCGATAGGAGTCAGCAACACGCTGGACAGTCTATAGTACCAGGTTGAAGTTAGTATTGCCATTGAAACATATGAACAGACTTACTATGAGATACATGGTGCTCGTGCTTGTGACTGTGCATGAGATGTTGGGGAAAATTGCGTCCCAGATCACCTGCAATTTCTGGCAGGCCAACTTGGGGGGAACTTCCCAGGGGTTAGCCAGAGTTGCAACGTATTGCATGTAAGTAGAAACAAAGACACGGCGCCAAAGCTTTTGTTCAACACCATCCGGGAGATCGTTGTTGCCAGGTTTCTTCGTGCACTCGGCTTGACTGAGCTGGGGGCTTGCCAGGCGAATCCTTGACGAGAGCCTGTACAATATGATGCGGTTATATTATAAGGTCAACAACTGACTTTAATGTTAAAAAAATAAGAAGACACTTACCGAACTTGAAACTCGTTTTTTCCCTTTGGGAGGGCTAGCAACTGCGGCCTCTCGTTCGAGACCCTGGGTCTCATCTTCATCTGAGAGTCCTCCGAGTCCATCATGGAGTTGCAGAGTATCTTGCTCTTTCGGTTCCTGCGTGATGGGGATAGCGTGAGAAATCAACACGTTTTCTGTCAACACCGAATTGGTGGATGAGCGAGTGCTGGCATTGGTCAGGGGGGGAAGGCGGCGTGAACTTGTGCTATTTTTGAATATGCTGGGCTGGCTGGTGGTGGCCTTAGTGGGCTTTGCATTTTTCGGGATGCTTGCTGCCCAATCGTTAATGCCAGTGGAAAAGTCCTTGCCATTGGGAGTCGAGTCACTGAGGAAAAAGTAATATAGAGTTGTTTCGTCGAGAGTGAGCTCAAGCATGATAAAGGGTAAGAAGAAAAGGGCTTACCTTTTCGAACTCGGCGGAATCCGTTTCTCATCAGAACGTGCTTGACGGCTAACGCTGATCTTCTTATCATCTGCCAGATCTGCCTTCCCCTTCCCCTCCTTCTCCTTCTTCTGCTTCTCCTTCCCTTTGCCCTTCTTATCAACACGACCTGGAGCCCCAGCCATAGGAGTAGCACCGCGGTCATATTCACTCAAGATGGGCATGGTCCACTGAGGTGGCTGCCTTCCCGGAGGGTGACTGGTGATAGGTTCGTCCGAGTCGTTGTTCAAGCGAGCAGCCGGAACTGACTGTGCTGATTTTTTACTGGTGGCCTTCTTAGATGCCTTCGTTGAAGGCCGATCAACGACCATAGCATCGTCATCCTGCTGAACAGATGCTGGCTGTTTGCTGGGAGCTTTCTTCGGCGTTGCGTCGACAACAAGGATGTCCGAGTCGTCTGAGTCGTTCGAGTCATCGGAATTGAGGCTGATTGTGCTGTGAGGTGCGGTTTTCTTCCTATCTGCAGCCTTACTCTTCCCTGACATATGAGTTTGCTGGACCGCTTTGATAGCATCTCGTACAGAACTCTTCGTCACCTTCCCTGCCTTCTTCCCGCTAACTTTCGTCTTTTTCCTGGGCGGCGACGACGGCATTGCACTATCAGACCCATCTGCGTCTATGTCCGAGGTCACCGTGCCTGAATGTTGGGTTGGATCGGGGTTGAAGGCGCTGCTATCAGCAGCCGCATCATCCATCTCAGCATCCGACAGAAACCCGTTGTCCTCCGCAGCGGGAGTCTGTACAATTACCTTCTGCTTGCGAGGAATTGGCTTTGGCCTTGGCCTTGGTACCGAAGGTGCAGCTCGTGCATCACTCATCTCGGCATCTGAAGGAGGCGTAACCTTCTTCTTGGTAGCAGGAGGCGCCACAACAGCCTTCCTCTTGCTTGGGATTGGCTTTGGCTTGGGCAGCGCAGCCCGCGGTGTAGCATCGGTCACCACATCCTGGTCCGCCTGGTTCTTCTCATATTTAGCAACACGTTTGATGCTAGCTCTCTTGGTGCGTTCTTTCTCTTCTTTAGCATCTAACTTAGACTGACGCTCAGCAGCTACTTCTTCTGCAGTACGGCGTTTCTTCTTCGGGGTTATGTCTGGGATACCCGGATGCTGAGTTGCATTTTTTGCACGGGTGACACGTCGAGTAGACATAGCAGGAGTAGATGGGGGCGAGCTTGCAGGACGCAAAGGCTTTATCAAGAAGACGCGTTTACAAGTAAGATGTTCGAATCGGGACTTCAATGTAATTTGACTTGCTAATTTGCCACGCCTCAACAGCACGCTCTTCGGCCTGAGTGCCCGAGTTCCATTCCTTCATATCTCCACGCCTTCGACCATATATTTCTACTTATCGATGTCGAATTCTTTCCGAACTTGCCAGGGCTTGAAGGAGACGACAATCACCGACTATCAACATCGATACCAACAATTCAAATCTTCATTGGTGACCAACATCCTAGTACCAGTAATGTTTCCTCTAGCTCCTAGTAAACTGTGGTGCGCTGACTGCTGTATTATAGATGCTACTATGTTTGCCGTGACTCGCTGCCTCAGAAGATTGGAAGGATCAGGCGCACCTTGTGTGTGTTTAGACTTGAGGGGGGGGGGAGTCTCACTTCTGTGGCCTTCGCATGTCAAACGCATTCCGTCATGCTCTTGGCCTTCCTCTCATCAAGGTGGACGATTGTGATATGCTTAACTTGAATGGTGAGGTTTCCGTTTAATGTCCGGTTGGTAACTGCGGTGTGCTGACTGCTGTGTTATAGATGCTATGTGTGCCGCAACTCCCTGCTTCAGAAGATTGGAAGGATCAGGCGCACCTTGTGTGTGTTTAGACTTGAGAGGGGGGGGGGAGTCTCATGTCTGTGGCCTTCACATGTCAAACGCATTCCGTCATGCTCTTGGCCTTCCTCTCATCAAGATAGGTGATCGTCTTCGCATGTCAAACGCATTCCATCATGCTCTCGGTGGTGGCTGGAAGTTATTCATGGGCGCGCCTTGCATCAACCCTGAACACATCGTGTTGTGTGGCTGGAAGTTATTCATGGGCGCACCTTGCATCAACCCTGGGCAGATCATGTTACCATTGGCTACTTGTAAGTACTCGCATGCATGATGTTCTCCTGCGCATTTACCAGGCCTTGTATAAAGTCAACTCGAAGTTACACCTCCGACGCCAGACTCATGGGCCCCATTCGAGTCTACAATACCATCGGCACTATCTTATGATGCGGGCCAATGGCAACCTTCGTGCGCACAATATACACAACCTTGGCCGCCCTCAACCCACGCTACCATGCCTAGTGACGGGCTGTATCCGCCGTTTTTACAACAGGTCAGGGCGCACCACTCATATGCAATCCCAGCATCCACTGGCATCTGAAGAACCCGACGTCCCGTCATCACACCATTCCTCCTCCGAGTCGAGTTCACGATGTTCCCAGTCATCCCGACCTGGCACCGGACATGCTGCAACAAGCTCAGCACACATGCATTCACGCAGCCCAACTCAGACTAGCGCAGGTGATGAACAACTTGAAGCACCTGGGAGTCGCGACGATCAAATGGAGTTTGACTTGCCAGAGTCAAATGGACGTGGGTATGGCTTTCATGATGATGCTGCCAATGAGGCAGGTATGAACAGCTCAGATCAACGCCCTTCAAGTGGTGCTGGTTCCATTGGCCAGGCGAGTCGAGATGGTAGTGTTCCTCTTCAAGTTCCTGGTGTTACCAGAACATATCATCCTAATATCAATGGTGCGTGTTAATTTCACTTGACGCTCATCCAAACTTGTGCTCACTGTATACTCTTCTCCATATGAAGGGAGAATTTGCGACGAACACGGAGATGACATACCACCGAATACTCCGCCACCTCCGCGTCCATCAAATCGTGGACCAGACAACTGGACACCATATGCTAATCGAGTCGAATTCGAAGTCGCAGACTTCCTCTACCGTCGCAACCAGATGTCGGGGGGCGATATTGACTTTATATTCAACCTGTGGGCCGCCTCATTAGCGGCTCATGGCGAAACACCGCCCTTCACAAACCACGTTGAGATGTACAACGTCATTGATTCGACGCCTCTAGGTGACGTCGCCTGGCAGAGTTTTAGCTCTGAATATAATGGTGCTCTACCTGAAGGTGACATTCCGACATGGATGACATCCGAGTATGATGTGTGGCTTCCGAGATCCTCGGATCCTCGTGCACAACATTCTCTCCAACCCAGACTTCGAAGGCGAATTCGACTACGCTCCGCTACAGGAGTATGATACCAGCAACGGAGCACATCGCTTTCAGGACTTTATGTCCGGTGATTGGTGTTGGAAGCAGGCCGTAAGCCATTTTTCATCCTTTTTCCAATTTTCTCATCTCTCACAATTCACAGGATTTGATTGCCGAGGATCCCAATACAATTGGATCTATGTTCGTTCCAATAATCCTTGGCAGCGACAAGACTACTGTCTCCGTCGCTACTGGACACAACCAGTACTGGCCGGTTTATATGTCGATCGGCAACATCCGCAACAACGTGCGACGTGCACACCGCAACGGTGTTGTATTGCTGGGCTTCCTAGCCATCCCGACAAGTACGTGTTTCAATTTGATGTTGTCTGTTGCTGGCGCTAATTAGATGCATATATTTAGCTGACAAGGAGTCCGCCAAAGACGCACACTTTCGAAAATTCCGCCGTCAGCTTCTCCACTCATCGCTGGCGAAGATGCTGGAATCCCTCAAACCAGGTATGACAACACCCGAGGTTGTACGCTCCCCCGATGGTCATTTTCGACGTGCGGTGTATGGCCTTGGACCATATATTGCCGATTATCCCGAGCAAGCATTGCTCGCTTGCATCGTTCAAAACTGGTGC